CTGTGAGTCACCTTCAGAAGGAGGCATCTGGAGCTGCAGCTCTCATGTTCCTGAGGTGAGTGGAGATGTGAGGGGCTGAGGCTGTTGGCCTCCAATTCATTTTCGTCCCCTTTATATATAAAATATATTTTTCATATAAAATGACTGTATGTGGGACAGGACACTGCTGCGGGCAATTGCCTGCTGCGTTTCGCCCACAAAATACAGTCAATTCACTTTATAATATATTTTGTGAAGCGCTTTTAGACGTCTCAATGACATGATAAAGCGCTATGTCAAATGAAAGGATTATTATTAATTATTTATTTCTGGGACACAGCATCACACGTCACACTCACTTTCCCTCTCACACATAACAGGTTGGGAACCAGGAAATATAAAGATATAACAAAGCATTCTCATCACAAGCACGGTGCTACGGGTTGAATTACTGTCAACAACAACAACAGAATGACACTTGTATAGCGCTTTTCATGTCGGGAGGACGTCCCAAGGCACTGGACAATCTGTGTTTGGACCCTAGCTGGGGGTTGGAATCGAGGAAGGTGGAGGTTAACTGAAGGTACGGTAGAAGAGGAGGGGCTTGAGACGGGTCTGTTTTCTTATTAGATCTAATATAATTATTGTTGAAACTAACTGGTCTTCTTAGTTCTTTGTTTGTTCTGCCTGTTGGTATTTCCTGCACAGATATATTTCTTTGGTATTCTTCTGCGGTCACAAGAACACAAAGTCCAGTTTATGCTGGTTCTAAAGAGCTGTATAAATACATTCTTGTTGTTAGAGGAGAAAAAAAACACAATTTGAGGCTTATGTAAATTCTCCCATACCTCATCCAAAACCAAAACCTTAATAATAACAACTTGGATTTATATAGCGCCCTCCACGCCGGACAGCGTCTCAGAGGGCTTTACAGTAACAGATCCCGGGGCCGAGCCAGCGGGAGGGGGAGGAAGGTGACCAAAGGCGCGGTCAAAAAGAAAGATCTTCAGCAGAGACCTGAAAATAGGAAGAGAGGGGGTGAGGCGAAGGGAGTGAGGAAGGGAATTCCAGAGTCTCGGGCGTAGTGGCTGAAGGCATGGCCGCCGAGGATGGAGCGGAGAACTCGGGGGACAAGGAGGAGGTCAGACCCGGAGGAACGAAGGCAATAGGTACTGTTTTGAGGAGAGAGGAGGTCAGAGAGGTAGGGGTTGTAGAGGAGTGGAGGGATTTGAAGACAAGGGTGAGGATCTTGAAGTCGATCCTCTCTGGGATAGGCAGCCAGTGCAGTCTGGCAAGGACTGGGGTAATTGGGGAGCGGAGTTTGGTGCGGGTGAGAATACGGGCGGCAGAGTTTTGAATGATTTGGATTTTATGGATGGTAGTGGAGGGGAGGCCGGTGAGGAGGGTGTTTGAATAGTCCAGCCGAGAGGTGACAAAAGCATAGATCAGGGTTTCAGCGGCTTTCGGAGAGAGGTATTGACGGAGATGGGCAATGAGTCGAAGGTGGAAGAAAGCGGTGCTGGTGAGGGACTGGATGTGGGGGAGGAAGGATAATTGGGGGTTGAACCTGATGCCTAGATTGCGTACAGAGATTTTTAGGGGGAGGTCGGGTAGGTGGAGGAGGTGAGAACCGTGAGATTTCAGATGTTGATGAGAGCCAAAGAGTATGGCTTCCGTCTTGTCAACGTTCAGCTGAAGGAAATTTGCGCTCATCCAGCCCCTGAGATCTGACAGGCAGGCTGACAGAACATCAGGGGACTGGGGGTCGCAAAGAGAGGTGGAAAAATAGAGTTGGGTGTCATCTGCATACATGTGGAAATGTACCCCATGTCTGCGAATGACATCCCCAAGAGGGAGCATGTAGATCAGAAAGAGAAGGGGGCCAAGGATGGATCCTTGGGGTACTTCGCAAGTGACCGGGTGAGAGTGGGAGGAGAAGCCATTTGTGCAGGTGTACTGCTGTCAGTTTGTGAGTTAGGACTTGAACCAGGCGAGTGCGGTCCCACTGAGGTGGATGAGGGAGGAAAGGCGGTGGAGGAGGATGGGGTGATCGACTGTGTCGAACGTGGCTGAGAGGTCCAAGAGGACAAGGAGGCAGAGGGAGCCCTGGTCACAGATAGAGACGATGTCGTTTGTGACTTTCACAAGCGCAGTCTCTGTACTGTGGGCGGAAACCGGACGGGAGGGGTTTGAAGAGGGAGTGGGAGGAGAGGTGTGCGTGGAGTTGATTGGCAACAACGCGTTCTAGGACTTTTGTGAGGAAGGGCAGGTTAGAAATAGGGCGGTAGTGGTTGGGGATTTGAGGGATCCAGGGAGGGTTTTTTGAGGAGGGGGCTGATGACAGCAGTTTTGAGGGAGGCAGGAACTGATCCGGAGGAGAGGGACTGGTTGATGACATCAGCCAGTAGTGGGCAGAGGAGGGGGAGCTGTGTGACCAGGAAGTTGGTGGGGAGGGGGTTAAGGCAGCAGGTGGTGAATTTCATGGAGGTGATGGTGGGTGAGAGGGAGGAGAGAGAGATGGAGAGGAAGGAATGTAGGATGGGGTTGGTGGTAGGAGCAGATGATGAGGAAGGTGAGGGGGACAGAGAGGGTGTGGTGGTGGGAACAAGAGGCAGGTGGATGAGGCTGCCTGACGGATGTTGTGTATTTTAAATGAAAAGAAGTCCATGACCTCCTCGCACTTGGCATTTGATATGAAGATTGAGGAGGCCTAAGGGGGGGCACAGAGGAGGTAGTGGGTGGTGGAAAAAAGGATTTTAGGGTTGTGTTTAGCCTCCAAGATGATGTTGGAGTAGAAGGCTGTTTTTGCACGTGTCAAAGAACGGCGGTAGCTGTGGAGATGCTCGAGCCACAGTTGGCAGTGAACTGTCAGGCCAGTTTTCCACCATCTGCGCTTGAGCAGCCTGTTTTGGGTTTTTAGGCGCTGGAGATGGTTGTTGTACCAGGGGATCGGGTGGGTCCTGGATTTCAGGGGGATGAGGGAGTTGAAGGTGGAGCAGTGGCAATCATGGAGCAGCTGGACGGCTGCTTCAGGATCTCTGTGGGTGGAAAGCTGGAGGGATAGGATGTTTGATGATGTGAGGGCCTTTGTGAGGGTCTCAGGGAGCAGCCTTTTCCAAGGGTGGTAGAGGATGGTTGAGGGCTTGGTGGAGGAGAGAGGGATGTAAGAGGAGAAGGAGATGAGGAAGTGTTAATAATAATCCTTGCATTTGATATAACGCCTCATCATGTCATTGAGATGTCTCAAAGCGCTTCACAGAATATACTGTAAAGTGAAAATTGAGTGTATTTTGTACCTTTTTAGTGTTTGCACAGAACCACTGTATCTCCCCAAAACAAGCACTGGAAATTCACAGGAATTGAGGGCATTTAACTCTCGTTTCCCTTTAACTCCCCAAATTATGTCCATCTTAATTTACACAATTAAAGTTCTGAAATTAGACCCCCTCAGTGTTTCAAAACTATTAAGCATCACCCACTAGGTGACGACACACCCCTCCCAGTGAATGGTTTGGAGGAGCACATAATCTCTCCCTGGCCAAAAGCAAACTTTTTACTGGAGTTGAGCATCTTATATTGCAGCATGTGTTGACACACTAAATATGATGACTCAACGTGTGAAGTTAACAAGAAACATGGCATGCCATGGAAGTGTATTTGTCCTCAAGGTCCTCTGCTTGCATTGATAATGTCGCAAAAATTCAAAAAGTACAATTTTCACTTGACAAATGGAATAATAATGTCACACTGTTACAGTGTGTGTGTTTATTATGTCAATCCACATTCATAATGAAAGGCAATCAACGACATGCTCACAACCAATTTGACATGAACAACTTTTAGTCTTCACGATTCTCAACATTGATGAGCTAAATTGGTGATTAATAGCAGAAAAAGAACAATATAATATTTGGTTTTGATCAGCCAGGTATCTGGTACATGTAAAAAACCATCACCATGAAGGCTTACCATAAATTAATGGTTAGCAAATTCTCTTCATATAACACTGAATCACCTGTTAACAGTGTCAGAAAAAANTGGTCACTCAATCCATGACTGTCTGTGGCACACTGCTGTGTGCAATTGGCTGGCACATTTTGCCCACAAAATACAGTCAATTCTCTTTTCAAAATAGTCTGTGAAGCACGTTGAGACGTCTCAACAATGTGATAAGGCACCATATCAAATGCAAGGAATATTATATCTGCCTTTACCTAATAACATTCTGAAATGTCTGCATTAGTTAGGAACACACTACCAGTATTAACATTTGCAGTGCAGAGGAAAGCAATGGGGGATGATCCCAACGTTAGAGGGATGAAATGTGACATTTTGACGGACCTGAAGCTCTTCAGTCTTCCCAAGAGAGGTTCAGATGAAAAAGGTCCTTCAGTCCATTTGATCTCAACCTTTTGTACTCACATCAAGCTATTTTATTAAACAAGTTCAGTGTTCTGGCCTTAATCACCCTTCCTGGAAACTAATTCCAGGCATTAATTGTCCGCTGGGTAGAGAAATACATCCTTAAACTGCACTTTGAAACCCAAAACCAGTGTCCTCTGGTTCTGCTGTCTTGGTGCATCTGAAAGAGTCATTCTGGATCGACTTTCTCAATCCAGTTCCAAATCTTTTTTGAAAGCTTTTATAAGACGTCCCCTCTCAAGACCGAAAAGAGCAACCCTGGTCATTGAGGGAAAAATATGGCCATGTTGGCGAAACCTCCTCGCACCCACCTACCAGCAGTTTGCGCGCGAGAAGTAAAGAAAAATCTTGCCCACAAAACATACAGTCAAATCACTTCTACAGTGAAGCACTCCGAGACTCCCAAGACGTGATAAGGCGCTGTATCAAATGCCAGGGTTATTATTGCTCAATTGAGGTACAATTATTGCTATGACTGTAATGACCGGTGCGGTAGCTCCCAGACAGCCACACGGGGGAGCAGTTGCGCTGTTGCTGTCGCTGTTGTTGTGACGGGAAATACAATAAGAGCTACGAGTGAGGATTGTGGGAAGAGCTTCCCCCGAGTGTGGCTCTGATCAGCTGACTGGCTCGCTTTCGCTTCCCTGCAGAATGGCTGCAGGTTTGGGCGGCTCCGTTTTGTGAGGAGTAGCTCTTATCCGCACCTCTCGCTTGTCACAGGTAATGTGTGATGTATTAATGGCTTTGGCCGCTGGCCGACTGCTCGGCTGCCTCCACTGTGTGTGTGCGCGCGCGCGAGAACTGGGTCGGGGGTCGGGTCGGGGGGGACGACGGAGACGCTTTATTTCCTGGTCAGTCTGCAAATCTGTGGTTTGAACGAAGAGCAGTGAGGTGGCAGATGGGATAACCGAAAACTAAGGCAATTCTGCTGGGGTAGGCCAGGGGCGCTTTCACTGCGTCAGCTCTGCGGTCAGGCTGTGGCTCCGCCGCGGGCATCGCTGGTCTCTGCCAAGGGGTGACCGAATCAGTTAATGCCCTGTAGGGTTAAAGGTTAGAGATCGTGCCTTCAGTGGTGATCCTCTGTTACGATAGATAATGAAGATGAGCCATTTAAAATCTCTGATTGATTGCAGGGTAACTGTGACCAGCGGCAGGGATTAGTTTCTGAGCAGACTGAGATCGCTGCGGACCTCCTAACCCCCCGACCAACCTGTCCGCTCCCTCCGCTCAGCGGGCTCCAGCCTGCTTCACGTCCCACGCCTCGCCCGCCCCACCATTGGCGGCTGGGCCTTCAACCTCTCTGCCCCCACCTTCTGGAACTCCATCCCGCAGTCCCTTCGCCTCGTCCCCCCGCCCCTCGCCTCCTTCAAGATCCGTCTCAAGACCCTGCTCTTTCACCGTGCCTTTGATTACCCTCCTACTCCTACACTCCTCGCCCTCTTGATCCCAACCACCAGTTCGGGTGCAGATCCCTGACTGTCCAACGCCTTGGGACATCCACCTGATGTGAAAGATGCTATACAAATCTAATTTGTTGTCGTTGTTGAGATCCTGGGAAGTGCAGGGATAATCTGTTACCAAGTCTCTGCCCACCTCCCCAGCTGGAAACAGGCTGTATGGGCAAAGATAAGCACTTGGCTCTGTGTCAGTAACTCGACCCTGAGGGTTTGGAGGCTTTGGGATTATGAGGAACGACTGGATGAGCTAGCACTCTTGAGCCTTGAAAAAAGACATCTCAGAGGAGACTTGGTAGTGGTATCTACGATGCTAATCAGTCAAGAGAAAGTAAATAGAGAATAATACTTTTGAATAAACCAAACTAGCAAGAACAAGAGGGCAAAGGTTCAGGGTTGTAATGAGTAATTTTAGGATAGACACCAGGAAGATTTTTTTACACAGTATAATCGACAGCTCGAATGGGATACAGGGAAGGATGGTTGAGGCCAGGGCACTGGTTTGATTTGAGAAACAGCTGGATGCTGTAATATGTTGGTTGGTACTCTGTGAGGATGAGATGAAATGGGCCACATGGTTCTTGCTCATAGTTGGGGATAGATGAATTTACATAGAACTTTCAGATCTAGGTATTGACCTCCAGCAACCTTTTCCGCTGAAGATTTCATTTTTGTTTCAGTGACTGTGTTGTCGTGTAACAATGTAAATTGGGTAGGCAGCAAATAAAGACATTTCAACTACAAATACAGGCACTACACTTACAGTAAATCCCCCTATGCTTTGAGATGTTTCAACCGCGTGATAAGATGCTACATCGAATGCAAGAATTTTTTGTTGTTGTTATTGAGTGTCAGATCAGTCACTTGTATTTACAGAGAGCAAGTTCATGATTTCATCAGAGAGTGAGGAGGAGCTGTACACGGAGAGGACAGCTCTAATGTCAGCTGCCGTGGCAGCTACATCCTCCTATCAGGATAAAGATGAGGTGTCCAACACAGCTGAGTGGCAGACCAACAGGGTAAGTCTCCCCTGGCCCATTGCTCACACTGAGTGCCAGCAGTGGAGGGTCAAATCTGTACTGCTCTTTGTGAGCTGATTTGGGGAGATGGTGGTGGTGGTGGTGGTGGTTGGATTTAGGGAGTGGGCTGGAACGGGTGGGAGGTTAATTTTGGAAGAGGACCTGTGGGTGGTGGGGGGGAGTAAATTTGGGAAAGTGGGATGGGGGAGGATTAACTTGGGGAAATGATGGTGAAGGGGAATTTGTGGAGAGAATGGTTGTACGAGCGTGTTGTTTTTTGCTCCGTCCTATGCGTGTAGCGGCTCTCGGCAGCAAGCCAGCGACTGGTCAGCGGGGAGGACAATGAGGGTCCTGAGAGTGGTTCCACCAGCAGGGAGCTGGTCGCTGACAGTGACGAGGAGGAGCTGACCCTCAAATATGGAGCCAAACACGTCATCATGCTCTTTGTGCCCGTCACTCTGTGTATGGCTGTGGTAGTCGCTACAATCAAGTCCGTCAGCTTCTACACGGAGAAGAATGGGCAGCTGTGAGTGTGTCCTGAACTTCCCTTTCCTTTCCAATGTCCTCTGCCTCCACCCTTGACCCCAGGACCATTGCTGTCCTGACAGACATCAAGTCCTAGATGAGAGTCAACTTTGTAGAGTTGAACGTCAGAAAGACTGAGGCCCTCTTGACTGGCTCACGCCAGCGCCTCCACACCTCAGGCAATGGGACTTGAGTGCATCAGCGTTCACGGATGCACACTCCACCTCACCAAGCCAGTCAGGAATCTAGGCATCTTGTTCGACCCTCTGCCTTTCCCCACCTCCGCAACATTGCCCGACTCTGCCACTGCCTCACCCCTCAGGCCGCCAAAACCCTCATACATGCCTTCATTACAACCAGGCTTGACTTTGCCAACGCCCTGCTTGTCGGCCTTCCCAACTCTTCCCTCCACAAGCTGCAGATCATCCAGAACTCTGCAGTTCGTGTCCTCTCCTGCACCAGGCTCTGTGACCCCATCACACCCCCCGCCCCAGGTCCACTGGCTCCCCATCCCTCAGAGGATTGAGTTCAAAATTCTCATCCTTACCTTCAAAGCCCTCCATGACTTGCCCCTTCCTACCTCTCCAACCTGCTAATCCCTTATCAACCTGTCCGCTCCCTCAGCAGGCTCTGACCTGCTCTATGTTCCCCATCTGGCCCGCGCCACCACTGGCTCCCCTCACCCCACTCGGGTCCTAATCCCTGACTATTCAGCCCCTTGGGATGTCCTCATGATGTGAAAGGCGCATTTACAAGTGTAATTTGTATTGTATTTTATCTCAGGATCACCAGCTAACCTTTTAAAGAGCCCCCGAGCCCTCTCCAAGAGTTATTCAAGTGCAGCCCCAGCCAGACCAGATTCAAATACCGGTGATCAGGATGGGGTGGGGTGGAGGAGTGTATGAAACCGGGGAGAACATCGTCACCATCGTGTGATTCTCTCCCAGGTTCCATATCCTCCCACCACCACCATCATTGCAACAGATAGGAGCCAGAAAAAAATCACTTGTCAAAACTACAACTCCCTCTTAGTACTGAAAGGACAGTGGACCATCTGTGAACTAACCCAGGTCCCGCTTTCTAAATGAAGGCCAGATAGCCTATATGAAGCTGTGACAGCAGGTTGACTTGAAACACATGCTGATAATGTGACTGAAAAGTACTGGGAACCTAGGCCTTTACGGCCACATTATCAGACTACTTTCTGGAATTAGGTAAGCAGGATGCAGCGCTGCAGGGAGAGAGTGCATATTCCATTCCAATAACATGTGGAGGTAGGATTCATGGATCTCTTGGATCTCTTGGTTTGGTCGAGATACTTTTAAGCATGGTGATATGATGGGTTTCAGCATCTGGCAGACACCCGACTGATCCCAAAAATATATTGGGGAATTGGTGGTGGTGGGGTGGGGGAAGGAAGAGCCTCTCTATGGTTTTAATGGTAGCGCAGAACAGTGGGCTCATCATGTTAAAAGTTTACGGTGATTATCGGTAGAAGATTCCTCCTCATTTTCACTCCTGTTTGAGTGCTTTGGGGCGTCCTCCTGACCTGAAAGGCATGATATAAATGTAAATATATACTGTCTTGCACTTTGGCAGCATTTACACACCTTTCACAGAGGACACGGACTCGGTTGGACAGCGTCTTCTCAATTCCATCCTCAACACAATAATCATGATCAGTGTGATTGTTGTCATGACGATAATCCTCGTTCTCCTTTACAAATACCGCTGTTACAAAGTAAGTGTGTTCCATCCTTGTGTGTGTTTGAATTTACCGGCTGCGGTGTCTAAACCGCTGGTATTGAGTCCTGCTGTAACCAAGAGTGTGTCCCTTATTGCTGTCTGAGCTATTGGGGATGGAATATTTACAAAGGGAGAAAATTCCACCTGGATCATATTTTCTCAGCATTTCAGTCTCTAGAATTTGGCTAATTGTTGTATTAATTTTTAACTTTGATTTCCGTAGTTCTCAAGAAGCTTACAGGAAACCAGATTCAAAATGAAATCTGTGTTTAAGAATTTGTCAATTAATGGATGCTCTGAAATGCTATATTAATAGAGTAAATCTAGACCCACTGGACTTTCTCCCCATTGATGTTCATTCAGCTACAAACATCTCCATTCTCCACATACAAAATTTGCTTTTCATTGGTTGTTAATTATTTAACAATTACATTTACACTTTTGTTTATGCATTGTTAGTACAAGCTTTAAATTAGACCCTCTTCCAGTATTTGCTTGAATGTGTTTGGAGCGGCAGTGAAGGAAGGCAGGACATTGATTTCCTACCGGATTTTCTGTGGAAAGTCTGAATGCTCTGTTTTCCACTGACCAGGGTGCTTTTGTGCCTTTCAGTTTATCCATGGCTGGCTGATTCTCTCTTCCCTGTTGTTGCTGTTCCTGTTTACCTACATGTATTTAGGGTAGGTATTCTGTGCCTTTGCTTGGTTCCTCTCCAGTGTCATTGCTGTGTTGTTCCTGCACTGTTTGGCATGACTCCAACTCGATTTAATTCTTGTCTAGTGAAGTGTTTAAGACTTACAATGTGGCGATGGACTATCCCACCCTGATCTTAATCATTTGGAATTTTGGAGCGGTGGGAATGATCTGCATCCACTGGAAAGGCCCCCTGCAGCTCCAGCAAGCTTACCTCATCATGATCAGCGCACTCATGGCCCTGGTCTTCATTAAATATCTCCCCGAGTGGTCAGCCTGGGTCATTCTCGGAGCCATATCTGTTTACGGTAAGTGCGGCATTTGAGAATCCTCAAAAGTGTTTGCCTACAAATACAGTCAACAACAACAACAACAACAAGATTCCATTTATTGAGCGCCTTTCACGTCGGGAGGACGTCCCAAGGCGCTGTACAGTTGGGTCAGGACCCGAGCAAGGGGGGAAATGGTCAGGGTGAGGGGAGGGAAGGGAGGGAGCGAGGAGGGGGTAGAGAGTCGAGAGGGGAGCTGAAGTCACGGTCAAAGAGAAAGGTCTTGAGACCGGCCTTGAAGGAGGAAAGGGAGGAGGCGGCGAAGGCACTGGGGGATAGAGTTCCAGAGCCTCGGGGCTGAGAGGCTGAAGGCCCGGCCACCGATGGTAGGGCGGTTGGGGCGGGGGATGTGGAGCAGACCGGAGCCAGAGGAACGGAGGGTACGGGCAGGTAGGTAGGGGGATAGTAGATCGTAGAGGTAGGAGGGAGCAAGGCCGTGAATGGCCTTGTAGGTGAGGATGAGGATCTTGAATTCGATCCTCTGGGGGATGGGGAGCCAGTGGAGGCGAGCGAGGGTGGGAGTGATGTGGTCACGAAGCCTGGTGCGGGACAGTACATGAGCTGCAGAGTTCTGAATGACCTGCAGCTTGTGGAGGGAGGTGCCGGGAAGGCCGGCGAGGAGAGAGTTCCCATAGTCCAGCCTTGAGGTGACAAAGGCGTGGACCAGGGTTTCAGCAGCGTGAGAGGTGAGGTAGTGCCGTAGTCTGGCGACATTCCGGAGGTGATGGAAGGCGGTGCCAGTTGTGGTGCGGATGTGAGGGAGAAAGGACAGCTCAGGGTCGAACAGAACCCCGAGGTTCCTGACTGGCTTTGAGAGGTGGAGAGTGCAGCCTTGGATGCTGATGTTGTCAGCACCTGAGGTGCGGAGGCGCTGACACGAGCCAATCAGGAGGGCCTCAGTTTTGCAACAACAACAGATTGGATTATATAGAGCCTTTCACGTCAGGAGGACATCCCAAAGTGCTGTACAATGAGGGAGTGAGGCGGAGAGGCTCTGGGCTGGAGTTCCAGAGAGTAGGGGCAAAAAGGCCGATGACCCGAATGCTGATAGTGAAGCAGGTAGGGTGAGTGATGTGGAATAGTCCACAGCGGAAGGAGCGGGCAGGTTGGTGAAGTTTTAATAGGTCACAGAGGTAGGAAGGAGCAAGACTGTAGAGAAGGGCTTTAATGGTGAGGACTGGGGTGTTGAACTCGATCGTCTGGGACATGGGGAGTCAGTGAAGCCGGGCGAGAATGGGGCTGATCGACTCATGGAGCTTAGTGGGAGAGGACAAGGCTGCAGAGTTCTGAATAATCTTGTGGAGGGAAGAGGTGAGAAGTCTGACGAGCACGAATTTAGTGTTGTTGGTAACTACACTGTGAACCGTGAGTAAATTCTGTGAAACGCTTTGAGATGTTTTGCCATTTCAAGGATTATAAAAAGCAGAAGGATCCCACATGCCGACAAAAGGATTTTTTTCAGATTGGAAACCAGAAGTCCCAATGGTTGCAGTGACTTGTGGTTTGTAAATGTTGTGTTTTAGGCCCTGCTGAAAGCTATTCCTGTTCTGTGAGGAAGCGTTTTCAAAAACTAACTTGCTCCTTCTGAGGGGATGCAAAACCTGAGGGTATGACTTTTCTCTGTGAGGAGGGAGGGTATTAGCATCAGCCTGGCTCTGTGGTAGCACTCTTCCCTCCGCATCAGAAGGTTGGGATTCAAGCCCCATATTGTGACTTGGAACTCATAGTCTAAGCTCATATAGTCATTGTGGTGCTGCATCATTGGAGGTTCTATCCTTTGGATGAGAGTAAACTGAGGTCCTGTCTGCCTGTTCCAGGAATAGGACCTCGGTTTAATATCACATTTAATGAGGGTTATTAGTATGAGTGGTTTGTTGTAGGTCCCGGGGTGCAATGCTGTATGTCACTGCAATGGGAATGAAGATCACACAGCAGTATTACTACTGGTGACTGTATGTTCATGTGGTGTACCGTGGTCGGGAGGGAGCAGGGCGTAAGGCTGTCTTGTAGTAAAGTTCCATTGTGACCTGCTCCTGTTTTCCACAGACCTGATTGCAGTGCTATGTCCAAAGGGCCCTCTCCGGATGCTGGTGGAAACAGCCCAGGAGAGAAATGAACCAATATTTCCTGCTTTGATATACTCCTGTAAGTGCTCATCCTGGAGTTTTGTAATAGGATGTTTTTTAGAGCAAGACTCAGTTTGCCTACAAATGCACAGTCGCTACACTCGGCAGTAAATCCTTTGAGACGTTTCAATGATGTGATAAGACTCTATGTGAAATGCAAGGATTGTTGTTATTACTTCAAATGCAGTGGTGAATGGGACTGAGGTCCGGGGAGGTGGGGGAGGGGAGAGACACAGCCATTGTAATGAAAGATGAATAGTGTCTGTCTGAAGTCTCTACCACGGTCGTCTCATTGAGCAATCTTTCACTTGGTTTAATTGTTGGTTTAATTGTGTTCTCTGCTCTTAAAACACTGTGTTTTTTGAGAAGTAATGTTTAACATTGAAGAGGCTAGGGAATCGCCCCTTTCAAACCGCATCTGGTGCCAGCTGCGTCCATCTGTAGCAGAGCTTGTCTCTGGGACCCTGGGGCAGCCTGCAGCTGAGAGGCAGCACAAAATCACAGCCTTCTCAATGTCTGGATTCTCACAGGAGCTCCGATCCACCTTCATTTACCTGATTCAACGCGTGTTTTGTTCAGTGGAGCAGTGTTAACGTTTCTACCACACAGAATACCAGGTTTGAGGATTGTAGTTCCATTGAATAGTTCCTCATTTTTTGCGGGCCAATTGTTCTGTGATGCTGTTTGTCCTGCACTCTCCACCCCGGCCTCCCGCCAGGTGCCCCCAGGCCTCTTGTCAACAGGGCTGACTGTTCAGCTGTGAGAGACGACATTTCAGTGAATCGTTCTAATCGGAACCGACATACAATTTCAGAGTCGGGAGAGTGAGGGAATAAATGGTCCCTGAATACCAGAAAGATTGATAGGAACGGGAGGAATTGAGCCTGTTTCTCCATTATAGTAGATCATAGCAGATCGTTTGGGAATTAGGAATACCACTTTGTATTTGTATTATACTGTATTGTATCACTTATCCTAACACCTCCTGCACAGCTGTGGACCTGGAGGAGGAAACATTAAGTCTTCACTTCTCCAATATCTCATTTTAAAGTTATTTGAGCAGCATGTTGTCATTTTTCACTGCGTACAGTGTATGGTGTGTTTACAGACAGTGTCTACATGGTCCTTCACTTTGGTACCTTGAGGTCTAAAGATTTCCTTTCTCTTTAGCCACCATGGTTTGGCTGGTGAGCATGGCAAAGCGAGACGTGGCCACAGAGGAGCCTCTCAACCAAACCGGCACTTCAGGTTAGTCCAGGGACGGGTGAGGGAGAAGCAACTTTTTCAAGACAAATGTCTAAAATGACGTATTTTGTCATGGGATTAAAAGTCCTATAGCTCAGTGGTTAGAGCACTCAGCTTGCAAGCGAGAGACCTGGGTTCGATTCCCGGCAGGGCGAAATGTTGGGCAAGTAGGAACCCGTTTATTAGTCAATTGGCGGATCGCTTTTCCGGGGATAATTATCCCTAAAAAATATAAAAATAATAATTTGTTCACTCAATCCACAACTGTTTGTGGGACACTGCTGTGCGCAATTAGCTGCCGCATTTCACCCACAAATATACAGTCAATTCACTTTACAATATATTCTGTGATGTGCTTTGAGACGTCTAAAAGACATGAAAATGCTCTATGAAATGCAAGGATTATTATTATTATTAATAACCAAACAGGAGACTCCTGGCAGCAGCAAATTTGTCACCCTGATGGGTGGGAACATTACAGTCCAATGCAGTCCACTTTCAGAGCCCAATCTTTGCAAAAGGATTACGGAATTAAGGATTAAGGAATCTCATTCAGAAATCATACATCTGGACCCAAGCGTTTCAATTGGTTTTCAGCCACAGCAGTGAATTGGCAAATATTGCTGCATTGAGCTCGAGGTTTATAGCACAGACACTGTGTGGTTCTTGCATTGCATGGGAGACATTGTGAGGCTTTTGCAAGGGATGTATAAAAATGGATAGCAAAAAGGGCGAAACTGTGGATCTTGCCCCAAATTCTAGTTAAGGATTGATTAAGCGGTAGGATAGTTTTAACCTTTGAAGTCAATACAGCGCAATTAGCATTCACCAAGAGTGCAATTAGTACTCTATTCATGCTCTCTAATTCAGATTTTAGTTGGTTTCTGTTGAGACCACAAAAATGGGTTTGAACAAAATGTCTGTCATTTTCACACATATGTGCCCATGTTGTAGTACTGGAGTAAATGTGAAACTTGCTTTTTCACTTACACCACATGCCTCCATAACCAGCAAAACAATCACAGCATTGCAACATTTCTTGTCGAAAAATTCTCAAAATCACTGAATAGTGGTTTTCTAGTTAATATTTTTGCAACTCAAGTTTGATAAAACACATGATTTGTGAATAATCCAAGGTCCTGAACCAGGCTCTGATGTTAAAGTAGAGTCATGGAGATTGGTCGCCACCAGAAATTAAAGCAGTTCATGGCTGCTGATAAATACAAAGCATGATCTTGAATAACCTCAGAAATCTGCACCTTGATTCGCATTACTCTCCTCCTGAGCATTCCTGTTTTTGATGAAACGATCAAGAGAGACGTAGATGATTCCTATTTGAAAGCAGTTTTGTTTCTCAAAAGAAACAATTTAATGTTGTACTTTCTGCTTTTAACCGCTGGTATTTTTTTAAAAAAATTCTTAGCAGTATCCAAACCAGACTGAGAATTCCACACTTGTAAGCCACCTGCACGTGAAAATTTCCCTGCACCTGAAATGGAATGTACTCTCTCTGGAAGGATGCACTCTACTTACATAATTCTGGAGAGTATTTGGCGCTGATTTGCAAGAGCCAAAATTTGGGCACCCCAGAGAGTGCATTGGGTTACGGCTGGAATTGAATTGATCACTTAGTCCTTGGCTGTTTGTGGGACATTGCTGTGCGCAAACTGGCTGCTGCGTTTTGCCCACAAAACAAACAGTTAAACCACTTTAGAGTATATTTCTGTGAAGCACTTTGAGACGTTTCGATGACCTGATAAGGCGCTATGTCAAATGAAAGGATTATTATTGTCCAGCTAAGAATACCCTATCCGTTAGGGCTTTGTTATAGGCACAGGTAGGCAAGAGCCCAGACTTGGAAGCCACCTTCACTGAGGCTTGGCCATCCCATTAACACATCATCCTAGAATCTTTACTGCAACATTCTGCTCAGCGTTTGCAGTGAGGGATGTGTGTGCGGGAGGAGGAGTTCCCAGCTGTATTTGAGCAACGCAAAGGATCTTTGCGTTGCTCAAATTGGCTGCTGTTTTCGCCCACAAAACACACAGTCATTCCACTTTAAGTATATTCTATGAAGCTCTTTGGAATGTTCTCCTGATGTGAAAGGCGCTACACCAAATGTAAGGATTAAGGATTATTTATATGTGCCCATGCTATGCTGTCTCACCTCACATTCCTATATTTTATATATATATATATATTAGAGTCTCACATTACTGATGACGGGTTCAATTTTGTGCTTAAAAAGATGATGGACACGAGAGCTGGGAAATGGGAGAAGTCCGATTTTGCTGGAAAAACATCTTTAATGGATGAAAAAATAGGTTCAATAATTTCTGTGTTTTTTCCCATTGTGTTTAGAAAATTATTTGGACAATTATTCAGTAGAGTCTGGAGCAAATCACCCCGTCACCCCCGAGTCTAATGATGCCACTGATGTGCCTCAGATCCTAATCCAAGGAATGAATCGTACAACAGTTAGTCCTGAGGACCCAGAGGAGGAAAGTAAGTGGCTGCTTCCGAGCTTTGTTCCACCTGAGATTAACGTCAGGTGAATTGTAAAAAAAACTGAGTTGCTTTATATTTCTGAGAAAGTGATTTGTGTGGAACAGCACGGCTGCCTCTCACCTACTGAATAAGTGATTATTTTCGAGCTGATGAGGGGAGCTCGCCCTACATGTCCTGTAGCCTTCTCTCCACTTCAACTCACTGATTTTCTGTTTTCCTTCCACCTGCGATTTACTTTCTTCTTTTTCAGTTCATTGAGGTTATCAATCCACTGGATTTCCCTACAATTAGTTCACACACAACAGAACTTCATAACATCACTCGGATTCCCAGGTCTAATTTGTGGTATTTCTGCAACAGATATCTTAATAAGAAATGTGCTATTCTCGCATTTCTAAATGTTGAATGTTTGAAACAATGTTCGGAATGTTTGGACACCTTGGGACGTCCTCCCGAAGTGAAAGGTGCTATACAAATGTAACTTTTGGATTGTATTATGTAATGCATCCAGTGAATTTCTGAAACACTAAATGTGCTGCACAGAAATTTGAGGAAATTCGATCACATATTTCTGGTGAAGCAATCCCACAAAATTAGACTCCAATCTGGAGATAATGTGTCATTTGTGTTCTCAATTAATTCCAATTAAATGGAAAATGATTATTAATTGAATTGGTCTTCACTTGAAACTTTGCGCATAAATCACAGCAGACAGATTTCCTGCTGACAGCTCAGAGTTCCTGGAGGCGCTGCCAGGAGCCCGCTATTATTAATAACTTGCTTCTTTTCACAGAGGGTGTCAAACTCGGCCTTGGGGACTTCATTTTTTACAGTGTTCTCGTAGGAAAGGCTGCCGCTGCTGCCAGTGGAGACTGGAACACAACACTGGCCTGCTTTATCGCTATCCTAATTGTGAGTCGCTCAAACATTATTATTATTATTATTACATTTTGACATTGTTGCAAGTAAAAATGAATGCACCAGGTTACATTCTGTTTGATTTCTGTGTTTTGCCAGGGTCTGTGCCTCACACTCTTACTTTTGGCCGTGTTCAAGAAAGCACTTCCTGCCCTCCCCATCTCGATCACCTTTGGGCTGATATTCTACTTCTCAACCGACAACCTGGTTCGCCCTTTCATGGACACACTTGCATCACACCAGTTTTATATTTAGGTGCCTTCCTGCTGGAGCAATGTCCCTCACAACGCTGTGTCTCAGCGAGATTGATGTTGAGTACGAAGTCAGGGAAAGTGAGCCAGAGCACTTCAAAAGAAAGGCAAAAGCATCACCACTATTGGAATACTCAACCCAATGTAACCTGCTAATGTTTCAACACTTCCACTTTCCAGCAAAACCAACCCCTGTATGAAATATTCCTTTTTCCTTATTTTTTAAAAAAAATTATGAATTTGAGATTCTCGTTAAGTTTAAATTAATAGTTGTCACCCCCATTTTCTAAAGGATGTTCTTGTTTTAAGATATAATTATCTAGATCATGAGAAAAATTAAAAGAAAATCTAGTAGGTAAAAGTAGCTTTATGAGCAAGTTGTTTTTTCTAATGTTGAAAGTACAATTGAAACAAACTTCTTTGGTAGTGAAGAGGACTTTAAAATGTTGATCTTTTAAAATGGACTGGGCAGTTTAGTAACCCAATATTTCTGTATTAGCTGAGCCTTTGTCAAGAAGGATTTGAATGAATATTAAGCTACCGGTTATTAGCTGTTACTTCATATAAAATATTTATATTGTGTAAGTATCTCCTACTCAGAGATGAAGGAAAATATATAATCCTTGCATATGATGTAGCACCTCATCGCGTCATTGAAGCATCTCAAAATGCTTCACTGGGTCTACTGTAGAGTGGTGTGACTGTATTTTGTGCGCAAACGTAGCAGCCAATGTGCAATTTTCCACAAATGCCATGAAGTGAGTGACCAATATTATTTAGGGGATTATTGGTCAGGGCACTGGGAGAAACTCCCTTCTCTTTCTGAATAGTGCCATGGGATCTTTAACATCTACCTGAATAGGCAGACAGGACCTCAGTTTAACATCTCATCTGCAGAATGGCACCTCCAACAATGCAGCACACTGCCAGCATACACTATGTGGATAGACTATTCGGGATAGATTCTAAGCAAAAGAATAGCCTGTGTTGCATTAAGATTATTAATGTTGTCTGTGCAACATTGCTTCTGTTTTGATCTCTTCACTACAGTGCTTGTCCTGGAGCTGTAGTAATACTAAATTATGTTCTGCAAATTCAATCCTCTGTAACACTTGTGTTCTTCAATTCATATATTTTTAAGGCTCGATGGATTAACTGATTTTCAGCATTGTTAATTTCTTCATTACAATGCAGATCACCTTTTCAATTTTTTTTAATGATTTAGCTCTGGGTTGAAAGCTAATCATTCACTTTGATCTGGTGCTGGCTGCATGGCACATGTTTGTTTCACACTTCCAGTGTGTCTGTATTGTTCGATGGACTTGTCATATATTAAAAGAAAAGTGGTATTTGGGAGTAGGGCAAATACACGTGGAGTCATATAAAAGATTGTATGTCTTGCCATAATAGTGCAATATTCCTGCACAATATGTATCTGGTGTGAATGACTGTTTCATATTACTGTCACCTCCTTAGGGTGATGTTCTACATGAATTTGGTTCATTCTGAGTTTGGTTCCTTTGATCATGACTTTTCATTAACACTTCAGATTTCTTTGTGTATCCCTGCTTCTGCTTGGAATGTTGTTAATCTAACCAACTGCTACAGTTATCTAGATCCACATGTAAAACTTGGTGTGAAAAGATGTGCAGCATTCCCAATAGGCCTGTCTATCGTGAAATGCGACTTTAAAAAGTGATTCAGATTTTCTGCATTTACTTATAGTTAAATGTTCAGTAACTTTAGATATAATTGCATATTTAACTTTGGTCAGGAGAAATAATTTGGATGATGATTCAAGTTCGACTCAATGCAAATAATGTGTCAACTCAGAACCAACCAAATTCATGTAGAACGTAGACTTCTTCAAATACTACAAGTCACAAAACCTTGTACCTCACATAAATATCTTGTGCTGATGACAAGACGGGAATAGCAATCCTTTTAAATAGCAAAACATTACCATCGTACCCTGTACTTCAAATGTTGAAAGAACAGATTAACCATTTTATATTTATGTAAATAGATGGTTATCTTTTTTTAAACTTAAGTGCATTTCTGAAATTGTGTATTCCTTCTCTTCCCCATAGATAAAAAAAATCAGTAAAACTGATGCTACTGTATCGAATAGTTATGATTATTATTGTTAATTTCATCGCAAAGAAGATATCAACAACTTTTGTTTTGCTTGTATTATAACAAAATAAATGTGGATAAAACCCACGAATAAACATTACTTTTAAAGTAATGCTACTTTGTTATATTATGCAATTTGCAGCATTTAGAAAACAATGCATCATGACTCAAGCCACTGCTACAACTCATTATCTTGCTTATGCCGTGAAAATAATTATTTGTAAATACGTCATACATTCAAGGAACTGAATATAAATTACTATGTTCACAATGTTTCTGTGTCTGGATCTTTCCAAGTAAATGGGAGAAGAAAACAGGCCCTGCACCGACCATGTGCATTCAATGCACTCTGCATACAACAGTAACAAATTACACTTGTAAAGCGCCCTTCATGTTGGAAAGACAGCTCAGGGTCTTGGACAGTCAGGGTTTTTTGGACCCAAGCTGGGAGTCGGCACGTTCGAAGAGCATGGTCTTTAGACGGGACCTGAAGTAATGCAAGGGATTACACAGACCACATTGATCTGCAGACATAAAGGAACATTACATATCTACAGGGATTTTCCATTGACATTGTCGATCTACGTACACGTACAAGGATATTACCCTGACCATACCTTTGTACATACAATTATGAAGGGATTCCACGTATTTTTGCTCACAAATATACAGTCAATTCACTTTACAGTATATTCTGTGAAGCGCTTTGGGATGTCCTCCCGACGTGAAAAGCGCTATATCAAATGCAAGGATTATTATTATTATCTAGAAGACGTGAAAAGCACCATATATAATTATCCTATATATATATATATCAAATGCAAGGATTATTTTATTATATTTACATGTGAACTGACTATATTTTGTGGTAGAAACTCAGCAGCCAATTGTGCAGAGCAGTGTCCCACACAGTTGTGGACTGAGTAACCAAATTATTATTTTTAGGGATTATTACCTCCGCAAAAGCGATCCACCAATCGACTAACAACCGGGTTGCTACTTGCTGCTAGGTAAACAGAGCTGTTTGTAAGGAAACTTGCCCAACGTTTCGCCCTGCCTGGGAATCACATCCAGGTCTTCTCACTTGCAAGGCAAGTGCTCTAATCACTAAGCTACAGGACTCCATGACCTTATGCTCACCTGTTTCCACTTTTCCTTTGTTATTCTGTCTTTCTTCTACTGTATTTCTATTTCTACCTTCTACCTCTAGTAGTTTGATTTTACAACCTTTGGTCTGACGTAAATGCCTTTGCAACATTACCATCCCTGATTTCTGTGATCTCACTCCCTTGCCTAAATCCTCAGCTCCGTTCAGGCCACATTGCCCACCACCTCCTCCTATTGCTAATCTCCTTTGGTCCACCCCCTCTGCTCTCTGATGCCCTCTTGCCTGCTGCACCTCCCTCACTGACACCTCTTGAGATTTATGGTGCAACCTCCCTCAACTTTGATACTTCTACATCCCCGCTACACAATTGGTGGACAAGTTGAGCAACTTTGACCCTGATCTCTGGAATTTTCTCTAAATCTCCCAACCTTGCCTCTTCCTTTTGTTTCAAAATCCCTTTGAAAAACTTCTCTCGACCACTACCTCTGTATTCCACCCTGTTCAGACTTTCATCTCTGAAATGCTTCAATGAAGGGTGCAAGGTGTTTATCTCTTTCTCATTTTCTCTTTTTACCCTTATCTTAGCTGCCTCTCTTGCTTTCTTCCCCAATCTTCAAGACTACTGCAGTTCTGGTGTACATGAACATACCATTTTGTGAGACTATTCCTCAAACATGCAAAACAATAATAAATTGGTCATTTTCAATCTACGACTGTTTGTGGGACATTGCTGTGCGCAATTGGCTGCTGCGTTCGCCCACAAATATACAGTCAATTCAATTTACAGTGTGTTCTGTGAAGCGCTTTGGGACGCCCTCCTGACGTGAAAAGCGCTATATCAAATGCAAGGATTATTATTATTATTAATTGTAACAATATTCCTAAGTGCATGCACCAGGCCCTTGTACCTTACTTGTAGGCTTGGTTATACATCCAGTCCTGTCACAAGAGATATGCTGCTCCCCTGCTCACGAGATTAATCAGTCAGTTGGTGTGGGGCTTCAGTTGGGTATCACACACATGCAGAAATCCATCATCATGACTAAGTTCTCCAAACCAAACCAAAAGTTCTATGCATCCCACCTATGCATGGAAATTTCAGAGATAAGTACCATTTACTTTCAATTTGGTTGGTGTGCCTCAACAACAACAAGATTCCATTTATAGAGCGCCTTTCACGTCAGGAGGACGTCCCAAGGCGCTGTACAGTTGGGTCAGGACCCGAGCAGGGGGGAAATGGTCAGGGTGAGGGAAGGGAGGGAGGGAGCGAGGAGGGGGTGGAGAGTCGAGAGGCGAGCTGAAGTCACGGTCAAAGAGAAAGGTCTTGAGACCGGCCTTGAAGGAGGAAAGGGAGGAGGCGGCGAAGGCACTGGGGGATAGAGTTCCAGAGCCTGGGGACTGAGGCTGAAGGCCCGGCCACTGATGGTAGGGCGGATGGGGCGGGGGATGTGGAGCAGACCGGAGCCGGAGGAACGGAGGGTACGGGCAGGTAGGTCGGGGGATAGTAGGTCGGAGAGGTAGGAGGGAGCAAGGCCGTGAATGGCCTTGTAGGTGAGGATCTTGAATTCGATCCTCTGGGGGATGGGAAGCCAGTGGAGGCGAGCGAGGGTGGGAGTGATGTGGTCGCGAAGCCTGGTGTGGGACAGTACACGAGCTGCAGAGTTCTGGATGACCTGCAGCTTGTGGAGGGAGGTGCCGGGAAGGCCGGCGAGGAGAGAGTTCCCATAGTCCAGCCTTGAGGTGATGAAGGCACCTGTGTGCCTCAGGTACTGTGTGGGTTTATTGGACAAATTCCTTGAATATTATAGGAACCAGATTATTTTCTTGAATGACCTAAGTTATTAAAATTAAAGGATTGTACAAACCAAAGAAAAGAACACAACTAAACCAATATAAAAACAAAACTGGTTTATTTAACAGCATAATGGTTATATAAATTACAGAAAATATTTCAGTAGCCACTTCACTCAATCACGCCTTACACAGATAATGGGCCATACTGTCTATATCTATATTTTGGCTTTCTGCATTTGTTCCCCTTTATTTGTTTTCACAAGTAGTGATATGCAGCTTCAGTTGTTTCACAACTCCATGCCACTGGCAAATCTGAACTGGTGTGTAAATTTTGCTTGTCTATCACCAAGTTAATTTCTCTCTTCAAACTGCGATTTATTCTTCAGAAGGTAAGCCGCCAGGAACTCTATAGGATTTGGAGGTCTAAAAAGGCAATTAAAAACAGTACCAAATAAGTAATTACCCACATGTACTTTGTGCTGTGGTGAAGTACATTGAACGTTTCAAGTGAAATAGTTTATTTTAAAAAATCCAAAATCTAGTTAAACCCACAGAGATAATCACAGTTTAAATAAATTTTATAATTCCTACAGGGCAAGACATCAGGAAGGACACAGAGATTACCAGTGACAAAAGATAAATAAGGATGTAAAGAAAGAAAATAGAAAACTCTTTCCAAAGCTGATCTGAAACCCTTAAAACCTAGCTCTCGTTTCAGTGTTATATTAAGAAGAATGTATGTGGAATCACAACCGAAAGGAGAAAGTGGATGAGCAGAACCATGGAGGAATGGACAGCCATAATCAGCACTGAAAAAGTCCATGTGAAGCTCATTGTCTAAAACTGAAATGTTTTAGTACCCCACAGTACAGAACAAGATCCACAGCTAAGATTTACAGCAAAGGTAAAAGGGTACAAATACTGTGGAACTGTTGCCTCAGTGCCAACAAATTTAGATCTGACCCAATGATTAGCTCTGTTAAAATTATGAAACTTTCTCTGCCTATTCCACTTTGCAGCAGCCTTTTCAGCATTGCATGAAATAAAAAGCAAAACAGGTTTTTATTTTGTATCTTAAGCATCAAAAGATTTATATGCCCAATAGTAAAATCCTTTCTCAACATATGGGGCAGTTTTAAACCTGAAGTAACAGTTCAATGGTAATCATTCCAGAATACTACCCAGGTACTAAATGTTAGATTTAATCTTTTTAAAAAAAGGTCTTTTAAATACAAAATCTTTGATAAATTCTTACCACTTAGTACCCATCCCTCTGAATAACAGAGCAGTGTACATTTCACTTGCTATTCTAAATATCTTACCTTTCTTTTGCCAGAACTGAAAGGCCTTGCAAAAGAATGGGTACCACAGTTTGATCCAGATATGCCCGAGTTGGAAGGGATTGCAGATCCACTTTTTGTTTTGATGTTTTCTCTGCGTTCAGTTTCTCATTCTCAACTATCCTCTGTTCCATTCGTCCAGAAGAGAAAGAATAATAGCTTTAAACTTTTATACCTTATTTTGATTTTTTTCACTCAGTAATAAATTTCTGTGTTTATAACCCATATAATTTGGATGGAACCCAGGTATAAGAGTACACTAAAACAAAGGAAAAAAACTTGACAAACCATTTTTGATGTCAATACCAAACAAACAAAACACGTTTGTAGAAAAACAATCTAAGAGGTTGCGATAACCTCGAATTTCTTCTCAGCTCCGTTCCTGACTTCCAGACAATACAAGAGGATATATCAAGAGATTTCTGATTTCTATCCAGTGATCTGTGTTGAATGTGCATTAGACTCAGGTGTGGTGCCTGCCATTGACCTACTATCATGGAACACCTGCTTAATAACATCAGCAGGAGCATTGATTTGTGATCCACATACCCAAGACTGAAAACATTAATGCAAAAATGTATTTGACAAGTTCAAAGTTAAATAAAAGCACATGAGATAATGAGTCCGTGCAACACCACATTTAAAGAATAAATATGAAATTTCTGCTATTAATGATGGCTAAGGCATAATCCATGGGTTATAATGGAATGGGTTATAATGGACAATGGAAACATTTAGAAACATAGTGCAAAGAAGGTTTTCACCTATTCCACTCTCCTATTTAATGGTACTGCAGGAAGGAAAATAAAGAACTCACATTTTTACAAGACATCATTACATCAAAACACTGAAAAGCCTTTGACAAGTAATGATTGTCACTTTACAATTCTGTGCAGTTTCACAGTTTCTGTGCAGCTCATATTAAGTGTTCAGTCTCCAGCAGACTCCTTTTTGTAGTCTGAAAATAGGGAGTTTATTCTCCTGGATAGCAGCAACTATTCTTCAGTGCTTATGGGTGCAGGAAAGGGAAGGAAAAAAAGGAGCACCTCAGATGGAAATTATATGCCCCACAACATTGCTTTCCTTTAATGGGTAAGGAGTGATTTTTATTGCATAGAAATGTCACTTAAGGTGCTGTAATAAATATATTGGATCTTATCTGATCTTATCTGTTCATATGAAATGTCACAGAGTGGTTTTCTAAAACAGCCTTGCTAAGCAAAGTATGTAAAATTTTCCTAACTTTGACCATTATTCTGAAATAGTCCAACCATAAGAGCTATTTAATCAAAACACAGAAACTACAAGGCAACCATTTTCATATCAAAACACAGAAAATTACATCAAGCATGGATCCCCAGGAATGATCATATGGTGACAGCACTTTAATTAATTCAAATAATAATCTGAACTATGAAATAAGATTAAACTTTAAGATCACCCAATTGCTTTTTTCTAATTTTCTCCCCTCCTCTTTTGAAGCAGCTAACTCTTTGCTGAAGAGTGGTTCCATAGACAACAGGAGCCCTCAAGTACCTTGCCCAAGTTGCCATTCTTCATGTGTGAACCAAAACAGTGCGTTTGGGCAGGCTATTCATTCAATTGTGGAGCCATCAAACAAGCCCAATCCTATTCTCTTCTGCTGGCCTGCACAGTTTCGAGACAGGGCAAAAAAACGAATTAAAGTGCCTAAGTGCTGTGCCCACACACATTACTGAATGTACCAAAAGCCCACAACCTTTTTGACATAGGACACCAAATGGTACCTTTATCCACCCGGTCACTAAGAAAGTGATTATACTATACATACTGAAATTAATGGGAGTATTTATATTTTCCATGTATCATACCAGGAAAAGGCTGTGTATGCACTTAGAACAACAGCTCAGGCAGCTGATGTATGATGACATTCACAATGATGGATTAATGATTGCAATACGTAAAAGAAATAAACCAAACACGCAGCATATCAGTGCAGGACTCTGGCAAGTTTCATAATGCGTGTTGAACCAGGACTGAACTACTGGCTGGGTTTTGTCTTGCACAGTTGGATATGTCCAGTTCTTGAAGTCTCATTGATGAGCCAGTAGAGCTGGTCAACCATCAACAGTGCCTTGGATTACTGGCCTGCTCTTGGGAGGCAGTTCAATCCTGGAAGCCTTGTTCACACCAAGGAAGATTTGAGACATAGTATTTTAGCAACCGCAAAACAGTGAAGAGATAATTGGACCGACCAAGATATTAATCAAGAATCTTCTAGTCCCGAGTTTGGGATGGCAAGTTTAAAAAATATTAACCAATAGTTGACCTCCCGAAAATATCAGTATATATTAATAAATTTTATACATTGCATAAAGGTTATACTGTACTAGAAAATTAAATGCAACAATAACGTGCACTTATGTAGTGTTTTTCACGCAAGATAGTGTGTCGGAGCGCTGTACAGTGAGTGGTGGTGTTGGAACGCAGAGCAAGGGAGAAGTGGAAGTAACCATAGGCTTGATCGAAGAGATAAGTCTTAAATGCAAGTCTAAAACAGTACCTATCACAACTTATCTTTATAAATGGGGGTCACTGTCAGATTATGTCCATGTTTTAACTCTAGATAAATGCACCAGTTAAACCTTTATTTAAACTTTAAAGCTCACGGATGCTTCAGTTAGAGAATAATGTAGTGTAAATCGAGAAGTGTATTTGCTACACATCTGAAGAATCAAATCCTTATAGATTTAAATGTACTAAATTTTGATGAGAATAGGGCAAAGCCAAATACTCAGAAGTGATCTTGACATTGCTAAGTTTGTTTTGCACAAAAATTGCTGAGATGTGTGATTACTTACAGTATCTGGTGAAGCAGACTCCCTCCCCTCCAAATAACTCACAAAACTACCCTATCAGCTAGAGACTCAAAGCATTACTCTTTTAGAGGATCCCCACTACTTGACTCCCATCAGAACTACTCAATCAGGGCAATCATTTAATGGCTCTACACAAGGCACAAATAAGGAGTTTGGAACTTTTAAAAAAAAAAAAAATCTGGGAGCTCCCCTTTACTTAACAAAGTTAACCATGCACGTAAACTACATTTAGTTCTAAGCCTCCAATGCATCTAATCAATATATAATCATATATACATGAACACATATCAACACATGTTTTTTAACAGTTAATATTCTGCACAGTCAAGCCTGAGCAAATACAATATCAAGCTACTTCTGAATGAAAGATTACTCAATTTACAGATGGCAAGGAGATGAGCAAAAAGAAATGACTATTTACAAAGAACAGTGGTATCAGTTATGGATTGCTTGTATCCAGAGAGTAAATCAAGATTCTAAATTTCAGACCAAATTTGTATTAAGGGGAAAGTCACAATTCCTTTGTGCAGGAAATGCTTGTAATACACACAGGCTTCACTGTACTTGTAGCTTTCCCTAATGTAAACTGTTGTCCTGTTTAGTTCAGTACCTGCACATGATCCGTAAGGCCATATTCGGCATGAGGATTATCGGTTACCTGAAAAACAGACGTAATTTATCTGAGAATATTGCTGATGGAAACACTATGGAAACAAACAAGAGGCTGCAAGCTTTGTCTCTTGCTCTACAATAGTTTATTCCGAAGTGGTATTACCTGCATTTGTCCTTCCACATTTGATTCGCCAATTGAATCAGCATGATCTAAGGAAGTAAAGACAATTGCATTAAAATAATCATTTCGTGAAAAATATTTTTAAAAACTTCAAATTTGTTTAATCGCAAACACAAATTTTCTGGAAGGAGAGGTAAACGGGTATGGTGAAAAGCCAGGGCAATGAAATCTACTAAACTGGTAAAAGAGACTCAATGGCCTGTTCCTGTTTTCCCATGTTCCTATTCCAGTGAGTCACACGATAACTAAATGTGAACATTCCAGAAGAAAAAGAACAGTGAGGGCAGAAGACTTGGGGCTATTAGGAGTCCCTGCTGACAAAAGATCCATAACAACACTTAAAAGGGAACTGGATAAATATTTGAAGATCAGTAATGCAGCACAGTATTGGATCAGAGACGCATCAGACACTGATCTACAAAGTAATTAGGAATTCAGTAAATTTGATTTTGGCTACTTCACTATTGGGCGTTTAAAGATTCACTGGTTGTCATAGAACATATTTAGCTTCAGATGGTCATGGTTATATAAAGTTTAGTTGGGGGAAGGGAAGGAAGTGGAGAGATTCCAATGACAAATTATACTTCATGGCAAATTAGAAATGGCTGGAGAAGAAAAGGGAAAATCTTTCCCCAGAGCAGGGAAACGGTGAAATGAGGTTTGTCTTCTTTCCACACAAAGCAAGGCAATTCTGATGCTGATTCTTGCTTGGCCCTGCATGAATTGGTACACTAGGACATGAAAGGCCAGCAGTGAGGTATGTCTTGGAAAAGATCCAAATTCCTAAATGCAGAGAATTGAGTTCCTTAGCAACATATCATATATTCTATTGATCATTATATTGATCTGAATCATCATTGGTAGCCTGTAATCCTTGCTTGGGGCATTTTACCCTAATTCAGACAAGAGTGCCAGTAAGGAAATACAAATCATACCTACTGATTTATTCCTTCACCACACGCTCTAAATTTTACAAACCAGTAGTTGCAAGTCATGTGGTGAGAGACACTTTAGTACATTTTTACCTGTAATAATTAAATACATACTAGCCCAGCTAGTCAAACTGACAAGGGAACAGCACATAGAATCTTCTGGGTCAGATGAAGTTCATTGCTTACAATTCACAGGATACTCTCCCTCCACCCTTTTCGGTACCAATGACCAACACAATGATTAATTAAACATAGAGCTGGCTGATATATTGAACACCCTACAAAACACAAATTGCAAGAGAATTACTACGGAATATCTCTTATTAACAATTATAAACAACATCAGAATAACATCAGATAACAATTAATTAGGACCCTCCAGAGCAGGAAAACTACACATGTGCCGGCACAGACACGATGGGCCGAATGGCCTCCTTCTGTGCTGTATAATTCTATGATTCTATGAATTGAACCCAGGTCCTCTCGCTTGTGAGGCAAGTGCTCTAACCAATATGCTACAGGGTGTTATCTACAAGCAAAACAGCAACCAGTTTGCAAACCGAGACCCACAAAAAGCCTCAAACTGATGATCAGTTAATCTGCTCATACTTCAGAACTATATAAAACTCAACCTCTGGAAAGTCAATAATATTTCAAACTGCTTTAACATATTTTGGATTGGCTATATGTGAATTAGGTACTTTCCCCAGTTGAGAACCTACAAACTTAAACTAGTCTATAGCATTTTGTTTTAATAAATTACTTTTTTGCATTCTGAATAAAAGTATATGCATTCCAGGTTACAGTCATGCCCGGGGGGGGGGGAATAACCTGCCCTAATGCACCAGGAGCATTGTAACATAAAGTTAGCACTATTTGACTTTCCTATCCTGAAACCAATTGGCTGCCGCGTTTCCCCCACAAAATATAATAATCCTTGCATTTGATGTAGTGCTTTTTACATCTTCTCGACGTCCCAAAGCGCTTCACAGAATAGACTGTAAAGTGAATTGACTGTATATTTGTGGGCGAACGCGGCAGCCAATTGCGCACAGCAATGTCCCACAAACAGTCGTAGATTGAAAATGTCCAATTTATTATTGTTTTGTTTTGAAGGGATTATTATTAGGCTCTGTGTGGAGTAAGGAAACTTGCCCAAGGTTTCGCCCTCTGCCTGGAATTGAACTCAGGTCTCTCACTTGCAAAGCGAGTGCTCTAACCACTGAGCTACAGGACTCCACAGTTAATCCACTGTACAGTATATTCTGTGAAGCGCTCTGAGACGTCTCAACCACATGGTAAGTATATCAAATGCAAAGATGATGATGATAACGATGTTGGGGGGGGTGGGGGGGCTCAGGTGAGTTACATACAGAGCCTCGAGAGCTGTTATACTGACTGGGGGGGGGGGGGAGGGGTTGGCCCGCGCGCTCTCTGGACGAACCGCCGCTCGCCGGGTCGGGTCCTCCTCCCCGCCGGCAGAGGGTCGGTGTCCGGTGCTGCCTCCCCTCCCCTCGGGTGCCGGGGCGGTGTAAGAGGGGGTCCCCCAGACCGCTCAGCTCCCCGCTGCCCGGCTCCCGCACACTCACCGTCCGCCATGGTTGTTGTCCGTTTCCACGCACTGCCGCCGACCCCCCCCCGTGAGAGACGCTCTCACCGATTGGTTGCAGCGGAAGCGCTGCCGCGGCCCCGTCGTCACGATTTGCCGAAACCCCACCGCTCTTGAGAGGGGACATGGGATTGGTGAGAGGGGTAAACGACGTCACCGGCAGCCAACGCGCAGGCGCTTTGACAGATGACAGCGGGGCGGCTGGGGATTTCGGAGGCGCATGCTCAGTGGAGACAGCGGCGCTGGTGCTGATCACTGGTTGTGAACAACCATCACTAAATAGAAGCTGAGGGGGCGCTGCTGAGCCGGAGTGGGGGGGGGCGCTGCTGAACTGGGGGGTGTTGCTGAGCTGCAGGGGGGGGCGCTGCTGAGCTGGGGGGGGGTGTTGCTGAGCTGGGGGGGGGGGTGGCTGGGGGGGGGGGGGGGCTGGGGGGGGGGGTGTTGCTGAGCTGGGGGGGGGTGTTGCTGAGCTGGGGGGGGGGCTGTTGCTGAGCTGGGGGGGGGCGCTGCTGAGCTGGGGGGGGGGTGTGCTGAGCTGGGGGGGGGTGTTGCTGAGCTGGGGGGGGGTGTTGCTGAGCTGGGGGGGGGTGTTGCTGAGCTGGGGGGGGTGTTGCTGAGCTGGGGGGGTGTTGCTGAGCTGGGGGGGGTGTTGCTGAGCTGGGGGGGGGTGTTGCTGAGCTGGGGGGGGGTGTTGCTGAGCTGGGGGGGGGGTGTTGCTGAGCTGGGGGGGGTGTTGCTGAGCTGGGGGGGGGGGGGTGTTGCTGAGCTGGGGGGGTGTTGCTGAGCTGGGGGGGGGTGTTGCTGAGCTGGGGGGGTGTTGCTGAGCTGGGGGGGGGGGGGGGTGTTGCTGAGCTGGGGGGGTGTTGCTGAGCTGGGGGGGGGGTGTTGCTGAGCTGGGGGGGGTGTTGCTGAGCTTGGGGGGGTGTTGCTGAGCGGGGGGGGGGGGGGGGCGCTGAGCTCGGGGGGCGCCGCTGAGCTGGGGGAGCGCTGTGGAACTGGGGATTGATCTGGTCCTGTCTTTAAATAATAAATAATAATAATCGTTGCATTTGATTTAGCGCCTCATCACGTCTTTGAGATGTCTCAAAGCCCTTCACAGAATATACTGTGAAGTGAATTGACTATATATTTTGTGGGCGAAATTGGTTCTGTCTTAAGCCAACATTCACACCTCCCAACGATCCCGAGATAGAGATCACAACCAGAAATCCTGCAACTTATCATAATGGTCCTACTGCTGATTCCAGCTGAGGTTACAATTAATTCAGAACAATACAGGATTCAAACTTGGAACTTTCCACTCTTTGTCATCTCCTCTGCTCCACTGGGCAGTGCTTCTAAAGGGGTTAAATATTATATGTTGGTGTTACTACAGCTAAGGAGAGTTCTGTATTAAACAGAAAATGTTGCCCCTATAATTTTTTTATTCATAATGAAAAATATTGCAATGTGATGAGTTATTGTAACAAATCTACCTGTAAGTAATATCTGCCCCTCCAACTCTTACAATGGGTTAGGCCGGCTGTACTGCAGATCCATCTGGCTCAGAAACTGGACAACTGAGACCACCACAGAAGGTTGGCTTGATTCCAACATTTTGTTGTGCAAACACGTCACCTTGGAGCCAGCTCATCTTCCCCCACCCGCCAAGAGGATAGTAATTATTTAGTCTTGAAATCTCACAAGCACAGGTTTCCGTTTTGGGACGTCCTCCTGACATTAAAGGCACTATACCAAATGCAACAATTAAATGATATACCTTCTTTTGTAATTAGCATAGGCATTCGGATTTCAACATTGGGATTTGGCGTGCCAATCTTGCTTAGTTGGTAGTATTCTTACCTCTGAATCAGAAGGTTGTGGGTTCATGCCCCATGTTGGGACTTTGAAAATGACACTGCAGGCTAACACTTCAATACTAGGCGAGCACTATATTGTTGGAGATGCTGTACTTCAGTCAAGGTCCTGTCTGCCCATTCAGGTAGACGTTAAAGATCCCATGGCACTATTTGAACAAAGGTGTCCTGGCCAACGATCCCCAAAATAAAATTGGTCATTCATTTGTTTCATGGCTATTTGTTGGACATTACTTTGTGTAAATCATCTGCTGTGTATTGCCACTTGACAGTAAATTGTGTGAAGTGCTTTGAGATGTTCTGTTGACATGAAAGGTGTTATATCAAATGCAAAGATTATTGTTATAATACATTGAATACTGACCAATCTCCTCATCCTGAGGTAATCTAATTTCCAATATTTGTAAGACATCGCCCAAACAACAGCAACAACAAAATTACATTTGTATAGTGCCTTTCATGTCTGGAGGACAAACAATCCAATATCTAACTGAAATGGACTCATAACGTCTTTGAATTGTGTTAACAAAACCTCTCATATCACTCTTATTATCTAGAGTAATCTGTCTCATCATATGTATTACATTGTAAAATGAGAAACCTTAAAAAAGTTCTAACAATGTAGTATCCTTTCAAACTTCAAGTTAGACATATAATTGTATCAAGCTGCAAGTCTCCAATGGCTCCTGCTGCGAGGCGCAATCTGGCAGAGTTGTATGCTTTGGCTGTGATCAGGACTCCTGTGAAGCTTCTGGAAAGTGCTCAGAATGGAAAGCCTGGGTCATACGCTAATAATCATTTCAAGGTCACTATCTGTTATTTGCAAATTGAACTACTGTACACTAATTGATTTACACTTAGTCCAAGAAAAGGCATGTCAATGATTTACAACCTAAACTGCTTATACATCCATCCTACTAATATTAAATGAATAATTTTAATATACCACCAATCCGGACCTTTGGATGAAACATTAAACTGAGGTCCTTTCTGCATGTCCAGATGGACTGGTGAGTGGATGACGTGATTGGACTATGAGGCAGTGAGCGAGTGATGTTGGTTGGACAATGGTTGGCAGTCATGGGTAATGTGATAAGACAGTGCAGGCAGTGAGCTGATGATGTACCTGGAGAGTGGTGGGGGTGGGGGGAAAGGGAGTGATCGGGTGATGTGATTGGCTAGTGGGGGCGATTGGGTGATGTGATTGGCTAGTGGGGGGAGATCGGGTGACATGATTGGGCAGGATGAGAGGTAGTGACCTCCTTTTGTGAATGGACAATACGGGGCAGTGATCGAATGATGTGAATGAACAATGCAGGAATCATTGATGGGTGAAGTGATTGGACGGTGTGGGGCAGTGATCTGGTGATATTATTGGACAGTGCAGTGGGGGGGGGGAAAGTAGTGATCAGATGAAATGATTGGCCAGTGATAAGGTGATATGATTGGCCAGTGATGAGGTTGATGTGATTGGCCAGTGATGAGGTTGATGTGATCGGCCGGTGATGAGGGTTGATGTGATCGGCCGGTGATGAGGTTGATGTGATCGGCCGGTGATGAGGTTGATGTGATCGGCCGGTGATGAGGTTGATGTGATCGGCCGGTGATGAGGGTTGATGTGATCGGCCGGTGATGAGGTTGATGTGATCGGCCGGTGATGAGGTTGATGTGATCGGCCGGTGATGAGGTTGATGTGATCGGCCGGTGATGAGGGTGATGTGATTGGCCAGCGATGAGGTTGATGTGATTGGCCAGCGATGAGAGTGATGTGATTGGCCAGCGATGAGGTTGATGTGATTGGCCAGCGATGAGATTGATGTGATTGGCCGGCGATGAGATTGATGTGATTGGCCAGCGATGAGGGGTTGACGTGATTGGCCGGCGATGAGGGTTGATGTGATTGGCCGGCGATGAGGGGTTGATGTGATTGGCCGGCGATGAGGTGATGTGATTGGCCAGTGATGAGAGTGATGTGATTGGTCAGCGATGAGAGTGATGTGATTGGCCGGCGATGAGGGGTTGATGTGATTGGCCGGCGATGAGCTGATGTGATTGGCGGAGCGGGGACAATGCGCTGGCCGGCTGCTCGCGTGTGATGGCGGTTGACGGGCGGGTGAATGAATCCTCCGGGCGGCCGAGGGAGGAGGAAGAAGGGGCCGCCGAGATCGCCGTCTGAGGACAGCCAGAAGGTCTCTCTGCACAAGCGGAACCTGTATTACTTCTCCTACCCGCTCATCGCCGTCTTCACCTTCTTGCGCTTCCTCGCCTTCCACCTCTGGCTCTTCTTCGCCTATGTCTGTCACCGCCTGGCTGAAATGGCATCGCGGAAGACAGTGGCGGTGGAGGAGCGGGCGTGCGAGCCGGGCAGCGAGCCCGAGCGGGTCCGCCTGTACCACAAGCAGGCCTTCGAGTACATCTCCGCCGCACTCAGGATCGACGAGGATGACAAAGGTGAGCGATCCTCCCGTCCCCTCCCATCAGCCCGGGCGGAAGCTCAGCCCGGCCATCCCTGCTCAGCCCGGCCCAGCCCGGGTCAGCCCGGCCCGGGTCAGCCCAGCCCGGGTCAGCCCAGCTCGGCCCAGGTCAGCCCGGGTCAGCTCAGCCCGGCCCAGCCCAGCCCGGGTCAGCCCGGCCCGTGTCAGCCCGGCCCAGCCCAGCCCGGGTCGGGTCAGCCCGGGTCAGCCCAGCACAGCGGCGCTAACAGGGCCCAGGCCATAGGGGCTTTGTGACCAAGTACAGGATGTGTCTGACTGACTGTGTGACTGTGTGTGTGACTGACTGTGTGTGACTGACTGACTGACTGTGTGTGACTGACTGACTGACTGTGTGTGTGACTGACTGTGTGTGTGTGACTGACTGTGTGTGACTGACTGACTGACTGTGTGTGACTGACTGACTGTGTGTGACTGACTGACTGTGTGTGTGTGACTGACTGACTGACTGACTGTGTGTGACTGACTGACTGTGTGTGACTGACTGACTGACTGTGTGTGTGTGACTGACTGACTGTGTGTGTGTGACTGACACTGTGTGTGTGACTGACACTGTGTGTGTGTGACTGACACTGTGTGTGTGTGACTGACACTGTGTGTGTGTGACTGACACTGTGTGTGTGTGACTGACACTGTGTGTGTGACTGACACTGTGTGTGTGACTGACACTGTGTGTGTGACTGACACTGTGTGTGTGTGTGACTGACACTGTGTGTGTGTGACTGACTGACTGTGTGTGTGTGACTGACTGACTGACTGACTGTGTGTGTGTGACTGACTGACTGTGTGTGTGTGACTGACTGACTGGACTCTTCCAACGCCCTCCTCGCCAGTCACACCCTCCTCCACTATTCACAAAATTCAGCTCATTCAAAACTCTGCCGCCCACATTCTCACCCGTATCAAACTTCGTACCCTGATTACTCCAGTCCTCGCCAAACTCCACTGGCTCACTGTCACAGAGCGGATCGACTTCAAGATCCTCACCCTAGTGTTTAAATCCCTCCATTCCTCGGTACCCCCCTATCTCTCTAACCTCCTCTCTCCCCACAGCAGTACCCGCTGCCTCCGCTCTACTGGGTCCAGCCTCCTCCACATCCCCCGAATCCTCCGCCCCACCATCGACAGCTGTGCCTTCAGCCACTATACCCCGAATCTTTGGAACTTCCTCCCTCAACCCCGCCTCCCCCAACTTCAGGAGCGCCTGAAGACCTTCCTTTTTCGACTGCGCCTATGCTCACCTACCCCCTCTCCCCTCCCCCAGGCTCGGCCTTGGGCTCCGTTGTTAAGCACTGTGAGATCCCGCCTGGCTTGGAGGGCGGGAGGAAAGAAATAGTCGATACGTGTAGTGTATGTATGTATACACACATATATAGTTAAAAGTTTTTCTTAGTTTGCTTTTTTATTTATTTACACAGCCTTACTCGCTTTATTCTTTGGTAGTTACAAAATATGAATAGATGTGACTTTTCCTCTCTCCACCCCCCTCCCCCACCTCCCACCACCACTGTCAATACTAATCAGCAAAAAATGTTGCTTCAGCACAACTCTTGCACTGCTGAAGGAGGTTTGTGAAGCCTTGTGAATATTCGCCACTGATTCTCATTTTAAAAACAATCGGGCTGTGACTGTCTCTTGCCTGTTCTCAGTGCTCTGACACTTGCTCGCCGTTTGAGTGAGATACCCACAACACTATCCAGCAGTAAGTAAGTAGCCTTTGCCTTAGGTCAAGGAGATGGAAGCGGAGACAGTGAAACTCAAGGAGAACAAATACCTATATACTTCTATATATAGAACAAGTACCAGTGAAAGCATATATTAGGTTGAATGTACTTTTATTTTAGAACAAATCAAGCTCTGCTACCATGACATCCCCTGAGACTCTCCCCTGCACTATATAAATGCAAGTTGCAGTTTTTTATTCTCTGCCTGCAGACTCTTTCACCACCTGCAACTTTGCCACTCTTTATTGACAGTTAGATAACCTGCTGATGACTGAGTTCAGTCCTTCACCTTTAGTCACTGGGCCATGTTTTAGTTTTCTTACAGTAGATCTGCAATTGAAAATACATTAATTGTACCACATTGAAGTAAGCCATTGAATAAATGAAGTTGTTTTTTACCACTTATTTGAACACAGTACAGATTCACGTTCGTAATAGGGGAGATTATCATCATGTTGCACCTGGAGTACAGTGCTGGTAGATTTTTGTAGAAGCAGCTCACTTGCATATGAATGGAATTACAAAGGAACTGAAGACCAGGGCATAATAGTGACATTATCTAACTGGTCTCCCAATTTTCAGATTTGGATATAATTGGATTTAGTTGCATGCATTTCAACAATGTAACCTCTGGAATACAGTCGAAAGCAGACTGAGCAAATGTTAAGATAGCATAGGAATTTTGAAATTGAACGTGATTGATGTATGTCTGTTGAAACAGATTTGCATAGCACTAATTGTAAATGTAATTTTTCTACTTTGTATATGCATCCATTTGCACAATAATGTTTTGCACTTTGATGTTGGGGATTGTCTGTGTAGTTATTATTTTCATTCAAATATTTCAGAATATTGCTCCCCTCTCCTTTACACTATTTCGCCTTTACATGTCTTTAATGGCACTATGCATCTATTTGCAGTGCGCTGGCAAGTAGAGATTGTAAATTAGTACGTTGGTGGTGATAACTGCCAGTGAGGTACATTTCAAAACATGCCTCTCTAACCACACTTTCAGTCATCTTTCCCTACCTTGGCTCCCAGTCCCAGCTCAAATGCCCATCCGGTAGTAGCAAGTACTTTGGCACGTCCTCCCGATGTGAAAGGCGTTTATATACATTTAAATTGTATTGTGTAGTGATTATGTGATTGGCTGAAGTAAAATATTTTGTAATGATGTTGTGAGATCCTTCTGGTTTAATTCTCTGTTAGGAATGGGTCCGTCCAATAAATTAATGAACAGTAGCTTCATCAAATAAAGTGAATAGCAGGATCTAATGTAAAAATAAAAAATAAAAGTTAATAATAGTTGTACTTTTGTGATGGTGCCTTGTAACTTATTACTTCTACTGGCATAGAAGTTGTAATGAGAATTATTGAGTAGCAGTTCTATAGATCGGTGATGACTGGAGGGTTTAATGTTAATTCATTGGCATAGGCTTCTGCATGGCTTGTGGATGTTGCCTGTTCTCTCTGTCAAACATACTGTTGAAAGTAACCTCCTGGGTTTACACTTGAAAATTGGCGACTTTGAGCAATTGAAGCGCATTGAGACGTCTCGAAGAAGTGATAAGGCCCTCTATTAGATGCAAGGATTATTATTATCAAAGGACAGCTAGTTCTCATGGCACCAAGTATGATAACAATTAAAAGAAAAAGAGTAAAATAAGGGGAGGCCATCTAATAAATTAAAAGATTGCTGTTATCAGGTAATAAAGTAAACTACTCCTCCTTGGATTGGAGATTGGAGACAAAAACGTAGAAAAATATTTCCTCTTTGCTTCTACTCTTACATTATTGCCTGTCATTTCTACAATCAAGTAGAAGACCACTGTAGTTTCTATTACACACAAAATACTACTTATTATTTCCATTTTATAAATACAATATTCCTAAAACGGACAATAGGGCCGAGTGTGTGTGTATAACATGCAACAATTTCTAATGGGAATTCCTTAATAAAAAAAAGAAGCGGTTAAGCACAGTGGAGGAACAAAATGGTTAAAGAAAATGGGTTGCAGACTTGTCTTTATCTCTGCAACTCAAAATGTGTCGGTGAGCCAAACCTGCAAGATAAAAAGCTGAGTTTGAGGCACGATATCAAGGAAGAACTGTTTCAACTGGGTGTGATCCTGGCAGCAGTTGTTACATTTTGCTTTCTAGAAAAGCTGCTGTACATGGAGCCTATGTGTTTCTTTCATGTTCTGCATTTGGTCCTTTAGGAATATATCAGTGGTAATAATGCATAAAAACAGCAAATTGCATTTACATCACCTTTCACATAAACATCCCAAAACACTTTTCAAAATATAATTGATTAGGTATGATATGAATGTTATATAGGCACCAGCAATGTCCCACAAACAGCATTGAGATATTCAGCCAATTATTTTGAATTTGAGGGTAAATAATAATTATTGCATTTGATCTAACGCCTTATCACAATATTGAAATATCTCAAAGTGCTTCACAGAATATACTGTAAAGTGAATTGACTATATTTTGTGGACAAAATGCGGAAGCCAATTGCGCACAGCAGTGTCCCACAAACAGTCAAGAATTGAGTGACCAAATTATTATTATTTATTTATTTGGAGGATTATTATTCCCAGAAAGCAATCCATCAATTGACTAACTACTACATAATACTAGGTAAAGCGAGGTGTGGATTAGGAGGGGAAATATAAGACAGGATAACTGAGAAAAGAGACCAAACATTCATATGGATCACAACTCAGATTAAATCTTTAAAAAATCTCGAGTACATGCAGCTCTGCCACAACATAAATTCTCTTATAATGCAATTAGACCCCATTCATAACAAAGGCACCCAGTTGGCCTGCTTGCTTCTAGTCGAGTGACTATCCTCCTTGGATTTTTGAACTGGCTCCAAGCCTGGTAATGGAATGATGGAATCGAACCAGGCCTCTCGGTAGTCCCGTTCCTGAGCCATAGTGATGGGTTTCTGCATGTGTCAGACACCCGGCTGGTCAAACAAAATGCTTCCCGGGCGATGGCTGGCTTTTTAACTAAAATGGCTGGCTTTGGGTTTATTAGATTTTCGGCCACGTTGCTTCATGCTTTACTGTTCGTGTGCAAAGCAGGAAGTGATGACTATGGCAATGTAATGGTTTCACCGCGCAATTAGAGGTAGGTCTTTAAGTAGGATCTGAAAGCAGAGAGGGAAGGGGAGAGATAGAGGGATTTGGGGAGAGAAAATAATTGTTTTTAATTGTTGGTTGATTTTTTTAAAGAAACTCTTAAAATGTTTTGGTACTTTATTGCTCTTATACATGAAAGTAACTACAATATCTCTAGACATGTAACAGTGAAACAAGAAACCAACCGACAGAATCAGTAAATTACAAGGGGAGGAACTAAACTGTCTTTCTTAAAAGGGGAAAAAAGAGTGAGGTAGCAAGTACTGTAAATAAGGAAAATATGAAATGTATTAAGAGACTTTGGAGCTAATACCAAAGATATGTTTCTGGTATTTAAAATTTGTGCACATGGTTACAATTTAAAGCAACAAAGTATTTACTTACATTGGGAAAAGTGCTTCATATTTAGATTAATGAAAGAATGCTGATTTAAGAGAGATGTAAACTGCTGCCTTCTGTTAATGTTTTAATTCCCATACTGTACAAAAGGGAATCCGTGCCTTTGTTGAACTACTCTCTTTCTCAGCATTCCTGCTAAAGAACCTGTTTGTCACTGATTGTTTGTCCAATTCAGATGTGTCCTAATGGACATGTCTTATAAATTGTTTTCTTTTAGCAGGGTTGTCTGTTTGCATTTGACTTCTTCGTACAAAACTGGTCAGTGAGCTTTGAAATGTGGTATTTCCAATCGTGTCAGCAAGGTCACCCATTGACCCATTTACATGTTCTGTATTAGTCATGACGTGCAGTCAGGCAGAAGACATAACCTTGCTTAAAGCACTTTGTGTGCCATGGTACCCAGTGATGAGCATCTTTACTGTCATGAGATCATGCAAGTTATTCGACTCCAGAAACTGTCGAATAATGAATCCCAATGAGGTTTTGCTGCCAAAATGTTTCCACAGAATAGTTTTCAGATTGTTTTTTCTTCTGCATTTTACTGAAATCCTTTTGTATTAATAAGTCCTAAATACAGTCCAATTCATGTCTATGTGAGTGACATTTGAGGTTGGGTGAAGATAACTCTTGACTAACAAAGTTAGTCTTTCCTCTGTTAAATGTCTGGTGTATACGTTTTTCAGTTTTTCTTCTGCAGTTCTCCCAGCATTTAGAAAACTATCTTAAATCTGAAGTTCATAGACAGATATGTGGTGTATACACATATCCGACTGGTAGTCAATGTTGATTTGTGAATCTATTTGTGGCATTGGGGCAAATGATTTGTTCTCCTGTAATCTAATCGGGGGTGACTGATTTTGACAAAAACAAATATTTTTAATTTGCCAGATGTGTGAATTTTATCCTGATGTTAACTAAAAACATAATTTATTGTAAAACCTGCATTATCCTGTTCTATTGCTGCAGATTGGTAAAAATCACTTAAAACAGTGGGGGGGAGGAAAGCTTGAATGCCAGTGTGCACATTCAGTGTGTACATTTCATCCACAAAACAGATGGAAAACGATGCATCCTGTGGACTGAATCTCACTTTGGCTTCACAAATTGTACTTTCCAGTTCAAAATGCAAATTGCAGTATTGTTATGGCTTCCCTCTTCTGATGATACCAATTAACTCAAAAGTTCAATATAATCTGTTGGAAACTGGTTTTCATTAAAACCATGTGCGGTCTGCAGTGAATGATATGAACTGGGGATAGAACAAAGACTGATGCCATGTTATTCTAAATAACCATTAATGTCCCAAACTATTGCCCCTTAGGTCATGGAGATGGTTTTGAGTATCATTAATATATTCCAGATATTGCATAATTTTCACCTCAATGCAGTAGTTTTTGGTGGAACCCTGAATGGCTTTAAATATTTTTATAAGTAGTACAGAAATTCATAAGCAAACTAAGACCAATTTGCCCACTGAAAGATTTAGATGCTTGAAAAAGAGGAATATTAGAGGTATGGAAGTGAGCAGGAGAGTGGGATTGGACAAGATGGCTCAGGTGTCAAAAACAACCAATGCATATTTGATGAATTGAATGGCTTGTTTCTGTGTTATAACATTTGCTATAACATTTTGATAGTCTTAATAAATTTATGTAGGACCCTCACCTAGCAAATTTTCAACTTGCTGCAAGCATCACTGACCCAAAGGTCACTATTCGTGTAAAATACTAACACCCCTTCCTCTCCGACCCTTATCATTTTACGTATGAAAAGTAAACCTTGGGACATACTGTAACTTCATGATGAACAATAAGAAGGAATTGTTTGAAATTATGACACTCAGGACTTCCAGATAAATGTTAGGCTAGATTTGTTTCTTTCTGGCTGGACTCTAAACATATCTTTCTGTGCTCAACTGTTTCTGAAGCAGCTGTGTTAGATAGCTCGTGCTTCCAGCAGTTGTCTTCACATTTCCTAGCAACCAATTGGGTGCCGTGGATAACATCAATCTTGAAATTTTGAGGGATGAGTAAAAAGAAAGTGGGAATCTTATAAAACTGAACATTTGCAAGCTGATAATATGTAAAATACCTTTTCCAATGCCATTTTCAAATCAGAATTTTTAAGCCCTTAGAGCACATCTTGACTTGTGTGATCTCTGCCTGTGTCAATATGCATTTTTAATTAATCCTTCATAGCAGCAGAAGGCCTCTGTTGCTTTGGCAGGTGCTTAGAATCCAGTTGGGTAGTCTCTAGGGAGATTAATTTTTCATTTGTTAGAACTAATGTGGAGATGATGGTAATTACTGAAGTCAGTCATGTTGCAAAATATTCACTAGTATAGTTCCTCCAGGCTACGTGTAGTTTGATCATGGAAGTGAAATAGGATTTGAACATCACTGTAGTCTCATCTCAAGATCACATTGTTATCTATAATCAATGTGCTAGAGCTGCAGGCTCTACATTATTTCTGTTTTTGAGCATTGGAGACCTATTATTGCTGCGTGTCATTTGTGCACAGGAAATTGTATTGTAAACTGAGGGCAATCAGAAAATACCCAGAAACTCATCCAGGATTAGGTTGACACCACAGTAAAGCTAGTGCAAAACATTCGCTCACTTCACTACTAATTGTATACATAATTAGAGAAATAAAGTCTATATTGAGATGAGCTTTGTTTTAAAAAGTATCCCTTTGTGTAAAAAAAATCAAGTACATAGGAAATCTGTAATATGTCTTGAGTTCTGCAGGGGCTAGATATTTTCAGAGTTCCTGAAGTATTGGGATGGTTTGCGTCAATTTTTGGCTTTGGTTAGTATCTAGCAGCGCAGTGTGATATTTTCTTGCTGACCATGATATCTTGCTGCATTTGCTAGGCAGCTAGTTTAACAACTTTTAGATTTAAGCCTGTAGATGGTGTATGTCAGAACCCGTAGATGTGGCAGTGTAATTGCAGAAACTATCATTTCTTTTAAGAGTTTTAAAAACTTTTAGCATATTTAACTTTCTTTGACCCATCTTTCCTTTAGGGATTTCATGTAGCTGCCTCGCATCCTCACCATGAATCTTTGGTCCAGAATCCTAACTCTTAGTCAGTTTGTTGGGGTTTCAAATCCCAGTCTCAGTTTTGAAGCAATCTAACAACTATAGTTGCCTTTAGGCTAAATATCCCTTAACTATCCTCTATCAAGCTTTTTAAGGTTTCTTTAGATCTCAACAATTAGAAGCGTGAAGTCCTGAACAATGTTTGGATATTCAGTACTCAAGTTTAAAGTAATGTTTTCAATGGTTGTGGTGGGCTAGGCAATTTTTTGTGCTGGTTTCTCAGTGGTACAGTTTGTGACTCTTCCTCTGTTTAAGCAGGACAGAAGGATAAAGCTGTTGAGTGGTACCAGAAGGGGATTGATGAACTGGAGAAAGGAATTGCAGTCCAGATCACTAAACCAGGTAAGGATGTCAATTTAAGTATCTGTCACTATACTGTCAGATAAGAGTAAATGCAGAAAATAAAAAAAAATGAGGTTTGTAAAAGGTCAGTGAATATTTAGGCGTGACCTGAGCTTCTGATGAGTCCAGATGATAGACCTGTTGCTTGGATGTAGAGTTGCTCTAAAGCTGCCCCACAGACTTTTTTCTTGAGGCTCAACTTTCTGCCTTACTGATTTGAGGAGACAAAAGATTTATTAAAATGCATATTCTCCCCTATTTTGAATAAAAACTATCTGCGTACAATCGCAGATTTGCTTAAAGGTAGGCAAAATGCAAGTCTCTACCCAAGCTCAGGGGCACAATAATCCAGGCATTTGGGGCAGTGAGTCTACAACCCAAGGACTACTGAACATTTTGTTCCGCAATATTATTCACACCAGCGTGGTCACATTCCTGATGCATCCATGGGATATTCTGGTCATAAAGACAGTGGTAGTACAGTGCAACTATAAAACGGTTGCTCTAAAATGAATTCTTATAAAACCATATGTTTACAGCATTGTTTAGATTGCTTGTTGAGAAAACAAAAGCCCAGTGTCCACTGTACTACTTTTTAAAATTTATCTCAAGATCAGCTGTTCTCATTCAGTCAGTGATGTCAGACTGAAGGAACTGGGTAAAAGACAAGCTGTTTATTTGGAGGAAGTAGAGGATTAGAAATAGTCGTGGGGCAGTGCCAATTGGGTAGTGGGTAGAGCCACAGCACGTGCACTGGCATAGAGCTGCAGTTTACGAACTGGGAATTCACTAGTCCTGGTCCATGTTGAGTGTGGCCTGGCCCTCTGAGTAAGGCAGGATAATATTGTGTGTGTATGTGTGTGTGTGTACATATATGAGGAAAGGTAGGCTGTAAACAGGAAAAGGGTCTGATTCCACAGCATTGGAATCCGGATGTAATATACACGTGGCACACATACATTGGGTACTATGGTTTCACTTTTACATTTTGATAAGCCAGGTTACCTCCTGTCATGTATTTACAACAAACAACAAAATTACATTTATTGAGTGCTTTTCATGTCAGGAGGATGTCCCAAAGCGCTTTAACAGCTCACTGAAGGTTATTTTCATTTTGATATTCTAAATCAAAATCTGCCCCAGGCAAAACAACAATGAAATAAAAATTAATTTATCTTCTAGCCTTCCATGAACAGATTTACTTACTGCTATAATAAAACTGATTTTACTACACATTTTTAAAGCTGGTATTAAATGATGGTATGTAGAAAAAATATAGCAGAATTGTACTAGCCTGCAGGTTAAATATTGAGAAATATTGATGCTTCTTCATTACATAATCCAGGCTGCTTGCTGGACTCCCTAGCTCCTCCCTTCACAAACTGCAGACCATTCAGAACTCAGTGCCACATCCCGATGCAGCATGTTACTCGTGGTTTTTTGCTCTGTTCCCCTAGCAGTTCTCCTCATTCAGAAGAAAATTCTATGATGTACAATATATGTGACTGCACATATTTGAATTTAATGATCATTTAATGGTTTGTAGGAAGGATATGATTAACATTAACAAGAAAATGAATGCAGTTTTAATGCAATAATAATTGTTAATCACCAAGTTTGACTAAGCCTGGTTTAATGTTTGGGAATAATACATGATCTTCAAGCTTGCACTTTAGTTCTGTAACCTATGTTGTATTTCAGTGCAGCTCAGCATTCTTTTTGTGTGATATTGTGATGTCCATTTAGTCCCGTTAGCAAAGTAACTGGGGAGCTCAGTTGAACCCAAATGACAAGAGGTTAAAGCAAAAACTGGTATGTGACAGCCAATAAAGCTGACAGCAGAGGATGTTGACTATGACCATAGCTTTTCTGAATAGTGCTTATATAAGTGTAATCAATAATATTGACTAGCTTGGGATTCCAGTCAGTTGGGTGAAGCATTTTGAGATATCTGGTAACCTAAAAAGTATAATATAAATTATAATTGTGGATATATTTGCTATGTAGTTATTGATAATCTTGCCATACCTTCTTGTTCCTAGGTGAACAATTTGATCGAGCCAGGCGGTTGCAGGCTAAGATGACCACAAATCTGTTGATGGCCAAAGACCGTCTAAAGCTCCTGGGTGGGTACATTTGTGAGTAAAAGAAAGAGGTTTATAAGATAGTTTAAAGGAGATTATAGGAAGTGAGTCAGTCTAATTTTCCTCTTTGCTTCCCTTTCCTTATGTTTGCCTTGTTCTTAATTGATCTAAACCTGATTTAGTCTTTCTTAATTTGGATGTAAATATTTTCCCACCTTATAGGTTTTAACCAGTATATAACCAATTTTAAATTTGCTTTGCATTTCTTATTACCTTTCTTCCAGCTTGTTTTTAGGACTTTCCTGGAGAGTGGCATGTTTGGCTGCTGCAGGCATTTTGCTGTCATTGCTAGCTGACAGACCACAAACTTGTTCTGTAGTTCAGCCTGCTTGTGATTAAACCCAGATTCTTCATGAAGAGTAAGTGAACTTGAGTAGCTGTCTCTTCAATTCAGTGTTTTATCGCTCTAGCTGCTGGGCTTGAAACAAATCTGGATTTGTACTAATCTAAAGTATTTTTCAGGTTTTTGTCTTGGGTTTGTGATAGCATATAGAGAACACAGTATAGAGCTGTGGTAAATAAAAAAAACCTCTGCATCTCTTCTCATCTGGGTGAGATTGGAGACCTACTATACTAATCCATGCTAATACATTCTTGTATATGTTCCGTGGGATATGTAGATTGAAAGAAAATCCAAAGTTTTACTTCTGAGAAAAATATTTCTCAGCCTATTAAACACATAGTTTACTGCATTGTTGGAAGTACCGTCCTTTGGATGAGACATTGCACTACAAGGATTATTAAACTGAGATCCTGTCTGCTTATTTAGGTGGATGTTAAAGATCCCATGACACTACTCAAAGAGAGACAAGTTTCTTCCAGCATCCTGGCTAATATTCCTCTGGATAAAAGTTGGGCTTTCACTTTACAGAACATTGCTGTGTACAAATTGGCTACGAATTTCATCTTCAAATGCAGTCACTACACAACACAGAAAACTGTGAAGCACATTAAGACAATTTGACATAAGGTGCTATATCAAATAATCCTTGCATTTGCCTTTCACGTCAAGAAGATGAATCAAAATGCTTTAAAGGATGTACTGTGAACTGAAGTGACTGTGTTTTGTAGGCAAATGCAAGTATTATTTAAACTATTTCCTTCTCTTCTTAAGTTTCTCCCCTTTCCCAAAGCTGGTAACTTGTGCTAAAGTATAGATGAAACAAAGGTGTTAGTAGCTTTCTGATAGTTCACTTAAAAAGCCATTCCAATGCTGATAATGAATGTCAAGGTCTGTTTGTTTCACTTGGGAGAAGAGCGACTCAATCCTGCCATTGGCTCCCAGAGTTTGACTTTCCTGAAGACGCTATACGGTTAACTTTGGTATTAATATTGGGTGTTCTTTATTACCTAAGCTTGTTTCAACAGATGGTACTTTATGGTTTCCATGGGCTTTATCCTAGTGTAATCTTTATGCTGCCAACCACAGACATTGCTATCTGTACTGATGGTGTCTTAGCAAAATGGTGGCATGATATCTCCCATCCTGTGACCATATAATCACTTTGAGGAGATGGGACATCTGATCTTTTCTTCTCCTTTGAGAAACAGAAGATTGGACCTATTGTCTGTATTTTTAATTTTTAGATTGACTTCTTCCAAGTGAATACCCAATTGCCAAGTCGTGCCAAATACAGTATGTGCATGAGTTGCCCAGTGTTTTCCGTATGTGTCACCCACTCCTAAATGAACTTTGGAACACTGTTGGCAAATAATGCGAATAGGCTATAAGGCAATAAGATCTTTGTGCTCAAGTAAACTAAACACTGTCAATGGATTAACCATACTTTTTTTTATTTGTGTATAGTTTTTTTTAACCCTTTCTGTTGCAATGTTTCTATCGCTATTATGGCTGCATTTATTTGTGCATTTCTGAATTGTACAACTAGAAATGAGCTGCTTTACAGTGTTTGATATTAAACCAAGGTGTAACCAGATCAATTAAAGTTACAAAGGTGGGTTACTGAGATGTGGTTAATGTAGAGGTACTGTATCTATTTCATTCTATAACTGTGTGCGAACCACAGAAAATAAGGGATTCAGCCATTTGAATCTTGTCTGGTCTATTCTCATTTATCACATTGTTTCTTTGCAAGCATCCTGTGCTTTAACTTATTTTATTTAAGTTTGGGTTTGCAGTCAATAGTGAAAAAGCCTTTCACTTCTGCATTTTAGGCATTATTAAAAGCTTCCTCCATCTTCTTGCTCCATTTTTCATTTATCTGCAAAATACAACAAAGAATCATAGAATTATACAGCACAGAAGGAGGCCACTCGGCCCATCGTGTCTGTACTGGCTCTTTGAAAAGAGCTATCCAAATCAATCCCACTCCCCCTGCTCTCTCCCCATAGCCTGCAAACTTTGTCCACCCCAAGAATCTAAACAAATTGTGTTGAAAAAGAAATCTTAAGGATTGTTCCACGTTAAAGCCATACATTATTACGTTCTGGCTAGTATGAAATGTAGCCCCACATTCAGGTTTCTGTTTTCAAAAATCACAGTGATGTAGCTGGTCTGCAGATTTGTGCTGCAGAATAACATTATTTACCCAGTTTGACACTCCAACCTCTTGCTGTGCTAAATGCAATAAGTAGCAAAGGTGGTGAGCCCAGAAGTGCCAATCCCAAGGTTAATCAGATTTTATAAAAAAAACAGATATGAGATGTATTGTTTTTCAGATGAATCAGATTGTTATTTTTGAGTGTTATCTAGGATTTGCAATCCAAATTATTGTCATCTAGAATTTTTTTCCAAAACTTGATTTGATATAATTCAATATTGTTTACGTTTTCCGCAGTCTTACAGCATCTAATGTAAAACTAAAAGACAGAAAAGGGACTTCAGCTACAACAGTGGTTGTATTCTTCTAGGTTCTGTACATATCAATGGTGTAATATGAGGCCGGCTTTATGTTAGAGAGCACACTTCAGTACTTGACTCTAATCCAGTCCTGTTCTAAGTGTTCTGTATCATGCTGCTGTTGTGGAGAACCCTCCTCGTACCATTGCCCCAGGGAATGCCACTACTTGTCACTTATTAGAGCATTCTGTAGTTCACAGTGATCTTGTGACTTGGGCTGTTTGCTGTATAATGATGGGATTTTTTAAAAATCAAATCTAACTTGGCACAATTACTGCGATTTTCTAAATCGGATATGAAAGTCTGAAACATAAGTTTCTGCTTCCCCCTCTTTTGCATTTAAGCATTCTGAATCTGCCTTTTTTGTTTTTAGGTTGTTTCTTTTTATTGTGTAATTTTCTAAGAGTTTGTTTAAATATTTGAGCAAAGTTTTCTCTAAGTACTTGATCTTGCGTTCGTGGAGGAATTTCTGAATTTATTAAACATTCAGACCTAGTGGGTGATACAAACCTCAGGTATAGGCCTTGGGTAGTTGTGCTATACAGAGAATTGCTACTTACTCGGGGATTCAAGACCTGTTCAATGCTTGACATTTTCTCATAAGGAGAAATAAAATCCTTTTTTTATTTTAAAAAAAGGAAGTTGGGGGTGAGGTGCACATCCTTTTTGAAGAAGCTAATCAGATACATTGCACATTGAATTATGAGTTATGTTTATTGAAATATTGAAAGCATCAGAATTGCCACTCAGACATTTCAAGGTTCAAAACCTTACCAGATCTACAAACCATTTCCAACTGCATTGCTAAAGGTCAAGAGTGAATTATCTTCTGAATGTAAACAATTGAAATGCAAATTTCTTTCATTATAATAGTTTTTTGCTCAGGTTTGTGAAATTGTATAATGCTGCTTGAAGAAAGAGTAAAGTATGGTGGATCTATATTGCTGAAATGTATTGAAATGGAGGAAGTAGGTAGCATGATCCCTGTTTTTCATTTCTGGGTTTTGAGTCTAGAGGCTGAATCCAAATGCTCCACAGACAGTTGAGACAAAAAAAATCCTCTCTCTGCTGGCTTTAAGGGTCTTATGTAAAATGAGTTTAGTTTGATACTCCACACGATTTGTAGACTTGCTCCGAGAAACAATAAGGATGGCTGGTGTGGGAGGTGTAGAACCTATCATGATCATTGGTGAAGTTACAGTTTGTTGATATTTTTACATATAGCACTTTAAACCTCTCCATTTTCCACAACGGTGTACAGGAAAGAGGAAATGTTTAATGTGTGTGTAACCGACTGGGGAATTCTTGATCCTGAGTGCTAGAAGTGTTCCCATTGCCTGCCACTGACATCTCTCATTCTAATGACTGGAAATATTTTTAAGAAAACTCCGTAAATAGGCTGTATGTTCTTCTGTTTCCTAGTTGTTGATGGCTAAAAATCAACACTTTAAAGGACCTTAACAGATTAACTTATAGAATAAAATATACAGTCTTTTGACTGAGTGCTAAAACGTAAATGTATATTAATTTTTAGCACATTTGATTCCAGGTACTTGGTTTAAAAAAAGTGCCAGACTATCCTTTGCACAATGCCTTCTGGCCTATTTAATTGGAATATTTATTTATGTAAATTTTTTTCCAAGTGGATTTTTTTTGTTACTGAATTCTTTCAAAACGGTTATAACTTCTAAATTCTTCCAATTTAGAGTGGTGCAGGAGGGAGTCGAATACCTCGTCTAGTAAATATTCAGTTTATAGCAACATTTTTTAATGTTTCTCTTAAAAAAGGACTGACTTCACATTGCGATTGTTTTCTTTTACAACTTTTTGAATTTTTATAGCTATTCATGGTTTTATGTAATTTCATTCCTGTGGTGTGTATTTTGATATAAATACAAGTGTTAATTCATTAAGCTGCTGTTGGTTTTGTAAATCTATTCACCCCATTGCAGTTACTATTGCTCATAAACGTAAACTATAAAGGAGTGGTGTCTGATTTGGGCAGGTATGCTTGAAATTACTATTAGAGGGGCCAGTAAATGTTCTAAGAATTGCAACACAAATGTTGTATGTTAAGATTCGCAATATAGTACACTATTATATATGTTTCAAGTAAAAACTTTCAAGCTTCAAGTGAAATACATATAGTAGATGCCAACATCCAGAGCTGGAGTGGAATAACCAATAGCTGGCATAAACCTGGATCTCACAATTTTGTCTCTTTTGGATCCTGTGCCGAGATGGAAAACAATTGCTGTTCCCCTATGAATGAGTTTTACACTGTGATAGTCTGTTATTAGGCTTGGAAAGTGGCTCTCCCTGGTGACAATGGTAAATAAAGCCTTCGCCTCAATCCAAAATCTTTCAGTAGTTCATTTTTCTACCACAATGTGGAAGTCAACCTGAATCAGGAAATTAAGAAACAAAAAACAGGACCCCTCTCTGTTTCTGTTTTTTTTNCTCTTGCATCTTAAGCATTCTCATTAAGCAGTTTGAATGCTGCTAGACTGGAATCGGGTGAAAGTTACAAAAGTCAAAGTATAAATGTCAAGGGATTTAACTTTGAATAACAGCTCTTAAACTTTGCAGCAGAATCTATTAAAATAATCTCTCCTGTTGTTTCTCATTTGTTTTGTCTGTACTTATTCTGTTTCTGTTTGTGCCTACCTATTATGTCATATAGAGCAGATGCTAGCATGCTCGCTTGTTTCCAAGCCTGAGAGGGAGGTCTGTAGAGACAGCACAGCCCTGCCGTGCCCTAGCGCGCGGCTCCAGTCAGGTGGGTTTCCGATGGCCAACAAAACGATGGTTTCTTTGTTGGATGACAAACAATTTGATTTTAAAATATGTCTTCAGTAGGATTGTGTTGCAGATATTATACATATTATGTGATGAGCAGTTAAGGAGTGACTCTGAATGGTAAGAATGCATTTGTGTGGTTTGGATGAATTCTTGCCAGGCAACAAGATATCTCGGCCACTAATTTATCTATTGAGCTATGTTCCTCTCGCTTTTTTTGCAAAGATCTGCAAAGGAATTGTGTGGAATATAGAATTGCCTATTAATTTGCAAGCTACTGTTAACATATTAGTATTTTTCATTTAACCACTGCACCTTCTATTTCATGGAAAAATACATTCACTATGGATTTCATATTTTTCTAAATGTCCTCATGCACGTTTTGGGGTATATATATATATATATATGCATGTATACATGCATGTTTATGTATTATAATGAATGCACACAATGCTTTATGTGGTAATGTATGCACATCCTTTGCATTCCGCTTGCATGCATATTAGAGAGAATATCTGTTGAGAATAATAACTAACTGTATTTCACTCCACACAGCTCTAGCCTGTTCAGTTCAATATTGGTACATAAGTTAAAACACTCTTAAAGTTTGTGTTATAATTCAAAGCTTCAAATATCTACAAAGCCCCTATAATCTATGAAATAATTTAAGAATTGTTACAGAAACTGGTGAGGCTCTGGCTGATGTTTTCCAAAAGCCTGTAAATACTGAGTTTAACCCAAGGCCAGTTGAGGTCATAATCCTGATGCACAACTTGTACACATATGTAGTTTAATATTGATAGTGGAAAATTGATCAGAGGTTATCAGTGTTTGTTAAAAGAGCTTGGAGGCAAAAGCTGAGCCATTGGTGTTTAAAAGCAATAGCTCACGATTTACAAATCTAGTGGAATTATTTGAGGTAGAAACTACTGGTGAACAGAATAGATCCAATGTTGGAATTTAGAATTTCCACAATATTAGGCTTTTAAAATAGATTGATTGGAAATTGAGCTAGAGTTTGAAATCTGAAATTAATATATTAGGATCTGTTCTTGGTTCTGTGTGGTTTATACTTGTTGATCATGCTGCTCCCTTTTCTGTGCGCTAAAGTCCTAACAGGCAGGGCAATCCTAGTTACTGTGTGATGCTACCATTTGCAATTTCAAGTTCACGGATGATGCCAAATAGGTGATAGTTTTACTAGTGCAGTTGAGATTGGTGGTTAAAGGGATCTGAGAAATTAAGTAGTGAGAGATGGAAAAAGTTTAGAAAAGTAAATCAATACATGTATAGGAGTGATTGACAAAGTGGAGAAGCTCTAGGTATCCCAGCTAGAATGCAATCAGTAGAGATTTAATAAGTAGTTGTTGATGTTGGACTGATGTTGTGAGATAACCTAGTTTTTTCCTCACTTGACATTGGGAAAAATATGTATCTGTGTACATTTGCTTTCCTGACCAAGGCAGTGAAAAGTGGCTTGATCATCATGGAGATCATCATGGATTCTGAACACCACTTATTTGGTAATGTTTGAGGTATCTGGCTTGATTTTGTTTATTGTTGCCTTAAACTTTTATATATGGTGAGTGACAGCTCAAAAACTCCCCTTGTCTGTTTCAATCTACCCTTGGCAGTTGATCGATTGTGGGCTGTATCTACCTCTTACTTTATTTGCGAATGACCAGCCTAGTTGTATATTTAGACTAAAGTAAATCAACAGAGATCACTTGTAATTCACTAACTCTTAGGCCTCAAACTGAAGCCAGTAACTGTTATCTTCTAAGACATTTGCACACCCAGGCTCAAAGGATGGAATCATAGTTGGACTAAGTTTCCATTGCAATAAAGAGAGATTGGTTGATGGGCTTTGAAAGATCCTTAGGTATATGGCATGTGAAATACTATATTAATACAAATGCCACAAGCACTCGAATTGAACATGATATTGATGGACCTATAGTCCCAACATATTTTGCAGACATTCCACAACAGATGGAATGTCACTGGAGAGTGAATGCTAGTGAACAAATGTTTCCACTTTAACTTGTAAGCTCTGTTAGTGTTTGCTGGGTGGCACAAAAATGTCTATTGAATATTGGATCCATTGCTATGACAATCTACCGTGCCAGATTTGGCTGACGCAAGCCATTTGGCATTTTGCAGGAGTTTGGAGATCTGGTTCTCATAACAGAGAGATTGGAACTGCAATACCTGGGCAGTAAATATGTGAACCATGTGGCTTGCAAGGCAAATAATGAGTTACCAAAAATGTTATGCTCCATTTCCAATTTCTGTATTCTTTTCTGTTCCCCCTATGCCTATAGCTCTAATGCCCCTCCCCATAGTACCTGCTTTACTCATTGCATCCCGGATGCTGCTGGCATTTTGCTGTCCTTTTTTGTGATTTGGCAAATTGACTTGTTACCATGCAAGGATTTGCTGTACTTTTATTTAATATAGCCCATCGGTTTGACTGATTTTTGGGGAGGAGTCAAACCCTGTTTTGTTCACAGATGTGTTCCTTCAGCAGCATGCTAAGAATTGAGAGTAAGAATCAATGCTATTTTTCCCTTCTCTGGTCTCTGATGCTAAAACCAGTTATAGCGAGTGCTATCCGCACTTGCCCGATCTTGGATCAGCTAACTAGTACACACCAGAAATTAAACCTGGAACTTCTTGGCTCACTATCCTACAGATAAATGTGTTGAAGAATCAGGGGAACTGAGCTTAAAGGGCAGGCTGACCCAAGTGTTTACCAGTTTGATCTATTTAGAAAGTTCCTCTAAATACTAATTTCTTATGCCAAGTACATAGTGGACTTCGACCATTTAGGGAATGATGTCCAAACTGTCACCTCACTTGAAACAGATGTACATAATCCTTGAATCACAATGAGCTAGCAATTGAGACAAGGACTTCAGGCAGCTCAGTTGCATTCATTGGTGAGATGAGGGAAAATATGCAATGTCAGCACCTGTGCAATTGTAGCACAACATGCTCTGCTGTGTGTGGATAAACCGGAAAATACGTTGTAGAAATTCTCTTAGAATATGACATTTACAGAGTAGAAGGATGGCATTCAGCCAATCGTGTCTACTCTCAGAACAAGCTGTCTGTTTACTCCCACTGTCCCACCCTATCTCCATATCCCTTCAAGTCTTTTCTTTCATGGTCCTGTCTACTTCTCATCTGAAATCTACAACAGACTCTGCTTCTACCACATTATTTGGCAATATTATGTTCTAATAGTTGATACATTAAGTTGAGGTTTTAAAACTAGGAGAAACTTGTACATGAGCTTTGTATTTCAGAATGTTTTTTTAATGTTTTTTTAAAAGGTTACATTCTCTTGCTCCCTTTCTTTATCTCCTTGCACCATGTACTTTCCCCGGCTAAGACTTTGGGTGGGTTACCCAGACCCAGGGCTTTCCAAAGTGTTGTTTTGAAAGCCTGGAATGATGGCATGGAATCTGATATTTGTACCCTTCCCTTAGGGTAGTGTCTGGTGTCCACTTTGTTCCATTGGCAGCTTGACTGAGACATGTAGAGCTGAGTGTGAAGCTATATTCAACTGCTCAATAGTGCATCACATTGGGCTTCCAATGCTATTTTGATTGAATTAATGGTGCATTTAATAAACAGCAGTGACACAAAACGGAAGAGTTTTGTTTGTAGACATATACAGGGTATTATTTTAAAAAGTGCTGTTTATTCAATACAATACAAATTTACATAGGGCCTTTCACATTGGGAGGATGTCCCACATTGCTTAACAATCCTGGCTTGGCACCTGAGTTGAGGGCGATGGGGGTTCAATCAAAATCTGAAAACCATTTTGGCAAGTGAATATTTTCCCTAAACCAAATTCAGGTACCACTGTGATTGTTGATAAAACTGAAGCTTTGATTGGTATTGAAGTGGATATGTTGAGCGGACAGAAAGCCTTGTAGTATGGTTGAACAGATGTTGCAACCAGTGAAAGCAACGTCTCCAAATTGTACATGGTGTGATATACTGTTCTCAAGTGTGGCTTCTGATATTTTAATTGCTTTATGTTTGTGAAGCACAATTGCACAGTATTTATTTTGCTTTAACTTTTGATTTGCAATGGGATTATATTGGCCACATCGATCCTTTGTGCATATTTGTATTTCTGGACCCTGTTGCTTTAGAAAAAATTAGAAGAAGATTATTACTTCTGTGCATTGATTCTTAACACTATTTTAGTCTACTTGTGATTGTAGATCAAGGTACTATTGTCACAAATCCTAGGCAAAAGTACTTGCCAGGTTTACTGTGAAAAAGGCTGAAAACAAAACAAAAATCATACTGTCCCTATTAACATAGCACAATTGCATGATTTTTTTTGATGAATTTTCAAATATAGTCACTAACTTATTCATATTGTCTGCTGCATGACTAAATGATCCATATCACAAATGTTACTTTAGACAATTTTTAAAAATGCTGAAATAGATGGTTAGAATTTATTCGTTTGCACACAATAATTGATTTCTCAAAACCTAGCTATCTGACTAATTTTTGACTCTTATTTCAGCACTACAATAAATTGTTCAGCACTAAATAAACTGAGGAGATCATGAAAGAAAATGACAGAATTATATGTGTGTGTGTGTGCAGTGCGAGAGAGAGAGAGAGTTGGGGGTGTCCACACTTGGGCAATGACAGCCATGGTCATTGAAAAGGATGATGACAATGGATCCATTTGTAGGTTTCATTTACAACTACTGTATTTCTCAGATGCTTTTGCTAAGGACAAGCAGCTAAATATTCCCCCATGTTATTAAGCTGGAGAGTGGTAGAGATAGAATGGTTTGGCTTAGTGATTGGGAGACATTTCTTGCAACCTAGTGCTGACATTGTACTGAAACTAGGAATTGAAAAAAAGTCAACAAGTATTCAAGTCTAATATGTACCCCAGTTTGTACTTCATAGCCAATGCTTGGACTTTGCCTGGGAAGAAGTGATTTACATAGAAGCTATCTGTCGTGCGAATGAGCAGGTTTCATTTTCAATTCCCTTTTATGGGAGAAAGAGAAGATTAATAACAAATAATTTTTGTGGAATGTAGAAAAGATTCCAAACATTGTCACACATTTCCATCTGCTGGCACAGATACATTACTGCAGCAGTCTGTTTTCAGATGAAAAAATAGAAGGAATAATTTCTGTGAAAGGACAGTGGAAATGTTTAGATGTTTTCCTCATCTCTGTAAACTTTATATAAATGTAAATAATTATTCAATCAATTTCAATGTTTTAGACTCTACAATGTGTGTTTCTTTAACTATAGAAAGTGGAGCTGTTCCAAAGAAAAGGGATCCTTTAACTCAAAGTAATTCCCTTCCTCGTTCAAAGTACACAACAAAAATTAGTTCACCAGGACAACTTGGCCATCACAGGACCCAGAGCCATGGAGGAATATCTAATCTTTCAAGCACCTCACGACCGCATGCTCAGCCCAGTACGTCTACTGCTAAGGTAAGGATGCAATTTTGTCTTGAGGCTCTTGGATGCCTGTAATTTCTGATATGGATACTATTAGAAGTTTTGGTTAATAAAATGATATTCAACTTCAAGGACAGGCAGCGTTTTTTTAATGCTTTATGGCCTGTGGATTGATTCAGAGTGGGGGGGAAAAAAAAACTTTGACATTTAGCTCAGTGATTGAGAAAGGCTTATTATTAGCCTCACATCGATTGTACAGTCCACATTCAACTTGTGAATTTTCTCTATTTGAAGATTAAGGATAGCTGTTAAAGGCAGCAGATTATTTTAAATAAAATGTGGTTGTAATGTAAGTGTTGGAGAAAAAAGAGTGGTAATTAGCCTTGCCCAAACTGAACTCCAGCTTTGAGCAGTCTTTAGGTTTATCCTGACTACCAAAACTGCCAAATATTGTAATTTAGATCCATTGTCTACTTTGAATTTTACCATTGTTGTGTTGTATGATATGTACAAGGTAAACAGTTTCCACGTCAATTCAATGTACAGTAAGCTCTAGATAACTCATCACTCCAAGGGAAAAGGGCTCAGCGATGAGTTATCTGGAGTGGTGATTTAGGCATAAGTCTGCCCTGGAGGTTGTTCAGATGTATTGCATATGCCTCTGGTCCATTAGTTGGCCGCTCCCAGGCCCTTGTTGCCTTTATATATTACCAGCTGTACCCGATACAGCTTCACTTGCAAACAAAGGATCCAATGTGGAATGTAGATTGACACACAGACAGACATTTAGTCTTTACCTATACTCAGCTGGGAGGAGCCCTGTGGAACGATTCATTGGGAGGACTCCTTTCTCTGTCTCCCTCAGTGTCTGTGTCTCTCTCTCTGTCTGTGTGTGTGTCTCTCAGTCTCTGTCTGTCCAACATGGGAGGACGTTAACTCCCATGACAACCAGAAAAAGGTGCCATAAATTTGTTGCAGAATATAGATGTATTTCTCTGAACAGTGTGCTTTCCTCTGTCGTTACGTAGTTGCAGAATACGATGCGTACCTTATGTTTTGGGGCTTAATTACAGCATTTTTCATATAGCTCATCAATGAAAAGAGATTCCCCCGCCCCCAAAAATATGACCATGACACTGCCAGATGCAAGACCTTTCCGAAGAGGTATAAATCATGTCTCTACGTCAATCGGTTATTGTGTGACACACAGTGTATTTGACAACAATATTGCTGAGGTTCGGGGAAACTTTGGAAGTGACGCGGAGGAAGCCGGAAACACCGCGGCCTCACCGAGGGAACCGTCACCCGCCACCGGCCCAACTCCCACATAGCCCCGCCCAGCTCGGGGCCGCCCAGGAGCAGTGGGAAAAGCAGCCGAATGGCAACGCCGGTCGCGGCATCATCCATTATCGCCGCCATCTTGTTCCCTTGGCTTTGTCTGAGTGCGTGCCACTGGGAGTTGGTGTGGCCACCAGGTGTAACTGCAGCGCTATGCTACACCTTAAACAAAACTGGCATACATGTATGATGAGCTTGTTTAGGTCATAGCTCATCAATGATAGATCCCTGAAAAAAGTACTTCCGATTGCTATCCTGTAATTTCTATGTGGATGTGAGAGTTGGGTTGAGTAATTCCTAAATTTCCTGGCAGCAATCTTTTAGGATCACATGGAAAAAGGAAGAAAATTAGAGGAGTCTTGCTATCTTTCAAGGCAGCAACACATCTCAAGGTTCAGACTTCAATAAGCTGGTCAAGGATTACTTTTGTAATTGATATTATTTGAACACACATCACCTCCTAATGTTGCCTTTAATTTAGAAGACGTGGTTCTCTTTTTCTATGTTTGATGTGTACAATTTTCAGATGTCTAGCTGGTTTAGTCTTCTGTAACTTTAACAGTATGACTGAAACTACATAATGTAAATCCACCTGTAATGTCAATTCACATTTCACAGACATTTTCTACAAAAAACACCCCTCGACCAAGCAACAAGCCGCCCACTCCTGTTTCAACTCCACGAAAGAAAAAGGATTTGAAAAATTTCCGAAATGTTGACAGCAAGTTGGCAAATCTAATCCTGAATGAAGTTGTGGACAGGTAAATTTATGTCATCTCATTTCTGAATGCAATCCCCATGTCTGTAATGATCAAGATAGTTAAACCAGGGATTGATCATTAAGAAATTGGGTCTCCCATTCATGAGTAGTATTGGTATCGCTTGAATGCTGACAACAACTTGCACTGATTGGTTACAGCCCTTTGTATTATTCCTGTTGATTGAAGCAATATGAAATCTTCTTATTCTGTGGAAAATAAAATATGATTACAAGTAGCTACCTACGTCAAAATGAGTATCAAGCCAGTTGCAGTGCAGGGCAGGAGGGAAAGGATGATTGGGGCCTCACTGAAGTCACCAGCATTATTTTAGACATGAGGACAATGTTCTGCAGTTTTATGGCCACAAACTAGATTATAATGACTGCATAATAGAACTCTCACCTCCAGAAATTGGACCTGTTCTTTTTAGACTTTCTGAACTCCCCTGCCCCTTACCTCCACCTGAACAATTTTAAAAGTATAAATAACAGCATATGATTGCTATCCAGATTTCAGAATTAATGCAACTCCTTATCAAAGGAAATACTGTAGAATAATTCTGTGCATGTTTCCTTCTATAGTGCACAATCTGTCCGATTTGATGATATTGCTGGACAAGAGTTAGCTAAACAGGCTTTGCAAGAGATTGTCATTCTTCCATCTCTTAGACCAGAGGTAAGTAAAACCAGACACCTCAGAGCATTGCTATTTTGTTTCTTTGAATCTGATGCATCTATAGCAACCAGCAATGAAACCTATTGAGCTCTAGTTTACTCATTAAAATTTCATTAAAAATTCAGGAAGAAATTTGATATAGATTTGACAATGTAATATAAGCTAAATTTGTTTAGAGACAAAGCTTTGAACTTTGAATTATTGTTCTCTAGCTATGATTTAAAGCTACATCTCTGAAGAGGCAGTAAACTGTTGTCAACACCCACCCCCCAGCTTCAGGCCTCAATTTATTTTGGAACAGATACTAGTTGAGCAGTAGCTTGGAAGGTTGGGGCCAATGAACAGCTGCCTCAATTATCAATTTTCTAATCTACCTATTTCTCTCTAAGTTATTTACCGGACTAAGAGCTCCTGCTCGTGGATTGCTGCTGTTTGGGCCTCCAGGAAATGGGAAAACCATGCTGGTATATATCTTTTTCTTCTTTGGAATGTAACAGTGTTTGTATTTGTACAACAGAAGAATGTCTTCACCAGTGCTGATAATTGCTACTAATAGGAGCAGCCTCTGGATTCTCATTAAAAACATTTTAAAAAANTCCAAATCATAAGACTGTTCAGAATGTTGGAGTTTTATTTTATATAAGTATCATTTAGGTTGTGTTGCTTTAAACATCCATTAGTCATAGTGTTTCCATGAAAGGCATGGGTGTTGCAAGTTTTTAAAACTGCCTCTTGGGTTGGTTCACATTTGACGTTCAAACCAGAGTTATTTTAGTTATATAGAATAACATCTTCTTGCAGGTACGAGTCATGAATGCTTTATCTGAATTATAAACTAGGAGAGGATTGGGGATTTGTTTTGAGTTGTGGGTTATTTCTGGTTGAACTACAAATTCTAGATGTCTCCAGAACTCGTGTTTAATAAAATCCAGCTTCCATTCTGGTCACTTAAATGGGGTGATTTGAAGTGAAACTGTTTTATAAACACAGAATGATGCACTCAATTACAGCAGTGCTCCTGAGGACTGAAATCCCCCATGCTCTTTGCTTTTGACAGTAGTGTTAAAGTAGTAGTCTTAAAGCAAAGCAGATGATTTAATGGTACACGATGAGGAAATTCAGAAGTCTGATATTTTGTGCTTAATTGCACTGTATGTAGTACTAAGACTATATAACAGGAAGATGCTAGATTTGCATTAGCCAATCTCAACCTGGAGGACAATGAGGCACTGCTAATAGGTAGAGGACAAGAGAAAGTAAATTTTAGGCTGGGGCTTGAGTTCCTGATTCCTACCAACATGACATTTAGCTCCACCTCTGTAAAGTGCTCTGGGACACCGCCCAGCATGGAGGGCACTATATAAATGCAAGTTGTTGTTGTTGTCTGGATGTTGGTATTGATGGAATTTGATATATTGGTATCTGGGTTGAAAAGCCTGCTATTGCTCACTGTCCATCTTATTTATGATGAGTGGTCGCTTAGCTAAGTTGGAAGTCTTAGAAGTGTATGGATATGGCCGGGGTATGTGTAGTGTGTGTGGGTCTGAAAGAGAAGAAAATGAAAACATTGCTGTAATAAAGCCATTGCGTTCAAATAAAATGGCACAGGTGAATCTTGTATTTTAAAGTGGCGCAGTCTATGTGAGGATGAGCAAAACGTTCTAGAAAAGGAAGGGGGGAGACTTGTATTTTCTATGGCATCAAATCACATTAACACTTCTAAAATGTTTTACAGTTAATTACTCTAAAGTGTAATGATTATTTTTGAGGCAAGATTAACCACCTTGAGATGCCTTGTATGTTACACGATTTAATATGCAGTGTCGTGTAATAAACATTCTCAAAATCACTATCACCAACTCTTGTGTTAAATAGGCCAAAGCTGTAGCCTCTGAATCCAATTCAACATTCTTTAATATCAGCGCAGCGACTCTGACTTCCAAATACGTAAGTAAGCACTTTTAGCTCTGAGTGTCATTGGATAATTTAATGGTTTAACTGTTGATCCTCCTTGAGCAATATTGGATGAAGTCACTGTCCTACTTAATAAAGAGAGATTCTGCATGCTCAAAACTGTATCCATTTGGTGTGACGACTGGCTCATAACAACTAATGTTTGTTTGATCTCCTGGTAACTGGAATTATGTCATGCTGACTTACAAGAGCTCGGGTCTGAAATGATTACTTCTGGAGTAGAACTCCCAAGGGTCGATGAAGAAATTCCATTAAACACCACAACTTAGACCCTGTTGTAAATTAATTAAATGCTCTTGTCTGTTCATTCTCCTATGGGGTTTCTGGTTTCTTGTGTAATATTAAAATCTAATGTCCATTAATTATTGCCTCTGTGAAAATTTGCAGCAGGTGGTTTTGTTGATTGAGTTGTTGATCGTTTTCCTGCACTACAGGAAAAACTATATCAGGTGTTATTTCTGTCTTGTTATGCAAACCTATTATTACTTACAATATATCTGTTATGCTTTCCATTACCCTTATATTACTGAGAAAGACAGATAATAGGAAGCAGTACTGATACTAATCACATTTGACAGAGCACCTTTCACATCAGGAGGATGTCTCAAAGCATTTCACAGGATATGCATGTAATTCATTCATTCATAGCCCGTCGCTCCAAAACTGCAACCAGGATCTGGTGTTGTCATTTATTTCGAATAGTCCTTTGGGAGTACAGGAGGTTGACGGGTGACTTTTGTAGGTAAACGGGGCAGTCAATTTGCACATATCAATGTCCTACAAATACCATGAAATGATTCGCCAAACCTAGGTACTGTTTGAACTTGTTCCCTTAGTTTATTAGATCACAGAAGATCTTTTAATCCAATTTCCATTACCCAATAATTCCTTTAAATATTTCAGAAGTCTTATCCCCAAAACTGTTTTTACTAATATTCTCTGTTTGCAAAGCTGAACTGTTTATAGAGTAATTTAATGTTAAAAATAAACATTTAATGAAATTATTTATTCATCAGTTTTAAATGTTGACAGGTATGTGAGCAAAACAAAATGCTATTCAAATGATAAATTATTTCAGAAAATTATTATTTCTTCTATAGGTTGGAGAGGGAGAAAAATTAGTGAGAGCGCTTTTTTCAGTAGCTCGAGAATTGCAACCATCAATCATTTTTATTGGTAAGTTCCAAATTTCACTGTTTAACTTGGCTAATGGTTATAACAATCATTTGCACCGAAATGTAATATTTAATGTAGAGATTATCTGCTAAAATTATTTGACAAAGCAAAATCACCCTTTATAAAATATACGTGAATATATTATTTTGTTTCAGATGAAGTTGACAGTCTATTATGCGAGAGAAGAGAAGGAGAACATGATGCAAGTAGACGTTTAAAAACAGAGTTTTTAATAGAATTTGATGGGGTGAGTGCAAGTAAACCTTGTCTCAGAGACTTTGAACAGCACATCTCTTTAACCTTTAGAATGGTGGTTTAATCTGTCCCAAATGAGCGTCCAATATTAAACTGGTTCAGTCAGACATTAAACCAGATTAAACCTTTGGCTTTTGAACTATCTTGAAGGGGAGATAGAATTCTCGTGCTGTCCATGGCAATATTCCTCCCTTAATCAAGGGTTGAGAGGGGGGGTTGAATTTGCTCATCTTGTTGGTGCAGATTAAATGCTATTAAGCATTATATCAAATGCAAGGATTATTATTAGCTGCTATAGTTGCCTAAATAGTTTTTCCAACACTTCACATAATTAGTTATTTTGAAGTACTGTGAGATATTTCAAAGTGAGCTTGTGCCTTCAAATTAAATGTTTGAAGTATTTATTACAAAAAAAGTACAAAACTCAACGACCAATTGAGCCAAAGATTTTTTTAAAAAAAGCTATTATAATTCAATAATCAAATAATGGAAAACTAAATTCATAATCTCATTTTGTGTGGCACAGTGGGTTTGTGCCTATCCGAGAATGTTGTGTTTTAATACAGTAACTTTTATAGGTGCAGTCTAGTGGAGATGATCGTGTTTTAGTTATGGGAGCAACAAATAGGCCGCAGGAACTTGATGATGCTGTCCTCAGGTGAGCACCTTAATTGGTTAAGGGGGGAGATTTGTTTGGTAGATGTATTGTACTTATTAGATGCACAGTGAGTGAGGTTACATGCAAGTCAGTCTGACTAAGTTGGTAACAATCTTATCTCTGAGTCAGAAGGTTGTGGGTTCAGGCCCCACATTGGGTCTTGAAACTTATAAGATCTAAGATGACATTCCAATGCAGTGCTAGGTTGTTCTGCGTTTGTTGGAGGTGCATGCTTCAAATAAGGCTTTAAACCGGGGCTCCGTCTGCCTGTTCAGGTAAGCGTTAAAGATCTCATGGCACTATTCGAAAAGAGAAGACAGTTTCTCCTGATGTCCTGGCCAACATTCCTCCCCTCCAATAAACTTGGTTACTCATTCCATGGCTGTTTGTTGGACATTGCTGTGTGCAAATTGACTGCCATGTTTACCCACAAAACACATACTCACTGTAATGTAAGGATTATTAAATCTAGTCAGTGAAGGAGTTATACTTGGAATGAAATTTTATTTACAATGATAGATTATCAGGAACTGGCTGGCTGATCCTCAGTTATTTGATGTGGAGAAAGTTGCCAAGTTATGTTGCAATTAAACATGCAGTTAAAGCTTTCACATCAGATTGATATATTTAGCCAACCAGCTCCTAATACATTAACATTGTGTTATAGAAAACTAGCTTCATTGTAAAAAGTTTACACTAAAGCATCCCAGGTTAGCATTGACTACTTTCTTGATAATGAATCGGGCACAATCTAATTAAAAGACGAGCCGTTTTCTCTGCTGTTCCACTTTGTGAACTTGAATCTCACATTGCAAACCTAGATATTTGTTAGTTTCCTGAGCTAACTAATATCAATCATACTTGAAGCTGTTACATTCTATTCTGAGGCAGTATGATCTGCAGTAATGGTTTAGGTAAAAGATAGTTTTGTTTAAAAGCAATAAAATCACCTCACTTGATTGAAAGGCAGACCGAGTTACCTGCTTCCAGTTCTATACTTGAGCCAAGTAGTCACTCAATGATATAAAGGAGCAGTGTTAGGTAGACACCTTCCTCAAATAGCAGGTTGCTTTCTAGTACAAGTCCAAGTGGCTAATATTGATATGTGAGCCTTGGCAGTGAGTGTCAGCAGGACACCCAGCTGTAGTGTGTGCCAGAACTGAGCCTAACTCTTCATTCATATGACTGCTATCCCCATATTTTTCCAGTAGATGGTGCTGAAGTGGGGTCAGAACCAGTAATATTGGTGAATGGTCCCCTTCTCGGTACAAACCCTTCATTTTCCAGCGCCTTGGGACATCTCCCGACATGAAAGGTGCTACATAAATACAATTTGTTATTGTTCCAAACCTAGCACAGGCCACAGTCAATTTAACCTCCTTATCTGTAAACTGCAACTCTACAAATACCACACCATTGGGGTCTGCCCTAATGGCAATTCTGACTTGAGAATTTGAGAGAATGTAGGGAGGTCTGCATCGTTCTGTCTAGTTCATTGACTTCCTATTGCAAAAGGTCCTTCTTGACTCTTGTAGTTGACCAGTGAGCTATCAAATTAAATCAGTTTAATTCAAAAAGTGTCTCAAGCTGCTGTGGGTTCCACTTCAGCCTTGAAAATCAGTTGTGCTCCACGAACATAAACACAGATCTATGAATGCCACATAGTCTTAGTCTGTTTGTTCATTCAGCTGTATTACTGTTTGATGTGGCACAGTCAAAAGATGGAGGGTGGAGGAATTTAAATTACTGAAATCTCTAGTATTTGATTACAGACCACCAAGTGTTTGGAATTTTTTTCAGGTTTTTTCCTTGGATAATTGAATCATTTATAGTTATTTATATTGTGCTACATTTAGTATAACCTGATGATTAAATCTGTACGTTTAACCCCAGATTACCCCAGTCCTTGCCATACTGCACTGGCTGCCTGTCCCAGAGAGGATCAATTTCAAGATCCTCACCCTTGTCTTCAAATCTCTCCACTCCTCTGCACACCCCTACCTCTGACCTCCTCTCTCCTCAAAACAGTGCCCGTTGCCTTCGTTCCTTCGGATCTGGCCTCCTCTTCGTCCCCTGAGTCCTCTGTTCCACCCTCGGCGGCCGTGCCTTCAGCCACTATGCCCTGAGGCTCTGGAGCTCCCTTCCTCACTCCCTTCCCCTCGCCCTCTCTCTTCCTATTTTCAGTTCTCGGCTGAAGACCTTTCTTTTCGACCGCGCCTTTCGACCCCCTCCCCCTGGCTCGGCCCCGGGATCCGTTACTGTGAAGCGCTCTGAGACGCCATCCGGCATGGAGGGCGCTATATAAATCCAAGTTGTTGTTGTATGTTGTGCTTGTATTTAGATTGTTTTAATTTTTTTCCTCCTTCCACAGGCGGTTTACAAAGAGGGTGTACGTCTCACTACCAAATGAAAATGTACGTAAACTCATTTAACTTTAAACCTAGAATAATAAAAATAAATTCTTTTGCATGTAGAAGAAAATAATTGTTCTATTATATTAAGCATGTTTAAGCATTTGTCAAAAAACTCTTTAAAGAGCATGTATTGTATTCCAACCACGTGGCTGGGAGGGCATCAGTGCCTGGCTGCTCTGAGCTTATAGTTGCAGTGTTTTTCCCTTTACCTGTAGGGAAACTTTGCTTCAGCTCTCTACATTCCATCAGTGACCTTGTGAACATTACAGACTGTAACTTGCAAATTGTGGCACAATATATTGCCCTCAAATGTAGCTCCAAAGCTTACAAATATTTAGTTCTTAAGACATCTTGAAATGTTTTTTTGTGTTGGAAAAGTTACTGTTTAAAATGTTTTTGAAAATGAATAATAGTTTAATAAAAGGCAAAATACTGCAGATGCTGGAAATCTGAAATAAACAGAATTTGCTGGGAACACTCAGCAGATCAGGCAGCATCTATGGAGAGAGGAAAGTGAGTGGATATTTCAGGTCGATGTCCTTTCATCAGAATAGTTTAATATCCTTACTGTTGCACTGGAAGTCGTGTTCAAGTCCATAACTAATCTAGTTTCTTTTTCCTATCCTTTCTATTCCAGACACGATTAACGCTGCTTACAAATCTTTTGGCCAAACATAGGAATCCACTTTGCCATAGAGACCTTTTGCAACTGGCAAAGTAAGTCATTCACGAGCCTTCAAATGCTGTCATTGAGAGTTCTGATGAGCGTGAACAATTAAATCTTTTGTCTTTTAGCAAGCAGTTACTGGTTAATACGTTAGAAAGGTAGGGTTAGTTTGATTTACGGTGCATGCACATCACTGGTGATTCTTAAAGTATCTATTCTCTTAAAGGCAGAGGATTAGACTTCTTACTTAAGAGTGCATCTTTGGACATCCTTTGTTCTTGTCACTTTCTCAAATGAAAAATGGAGATACAGGACTGGGTATGAGGTGGCTCAAGTTTTTTTCCTCTCGGGTTTTAAAAAAAATCTTATTTTCTTTCCTCTTACTTAGAATTTCTGATGGGTATTCAGGGAGTGATCTAACTGCACTGGCTAAAGATGCTGCATTGGGTCCAATCCGAGGTAAGCAGTGAAATGGTTCTGGTCTGTTTTCTATGAAATCCACTTCCTTTTGAGCAGGAAGGGCCCCATTATATCACCAGTTGGGACTTTATACACCCACACTGCATTATAAAGGGCTCTACTGTCATACATAGACATACCAAAGTCTTCATTTGGCAAGGTGGTTGTGGGGGTTGAAAAAAGTTGTTGGTTAGTTGTTCCTTATCAGACTCTACAGAGACTGGAGGTTTAGCTTTTTATGTTGCAATTATATTAGATTTAGCAAGGCTGCAAGAAACTCAGGTACTGTACTATAAAGGTTGTTTACTAACTACTTTTATAACTTTTTCATTTCTTGACTCGAGTACTCTCTGTGCAAAGTAATTAAATTTGTTTAATTAATATTGGCAATTGGAATTTGATTAAACCTGAAATGTTTTTGTCACTGTGTACATGTTACTCTGATAATTCTTGGACTTCATTCTTACCACTGGGTGGCACTAAATTGTTAATTTTAGTGAGATTTTTAACTCTGGAAAAGAATACAGTAAATCCCAGGTTTACTGGACTCCAGGTATCCAGAATTTGAACCTGGCTGGGCCCAAAACCCAAATAAAGAACAATAAAAAAGATTCTGTGTGCCCATTTGTAGACTCCTGACCCAACTCTCCTAGTGCAGCCAACACAGCCTCACTGCCTTGCTGGCTTTTGCAGTGGCCAGGGGTATTGACCCAGATTGTTTGTATCCACAAGTAGAAGGTAGCTTATTCGCTATCTTCTGCCCAGGGGATTGAAACAATTACAGTGCCAATACTGGCATTGTAACTGCACCTAGCTGGAAAATCCGTCTCGCCAAGCCAGATCTCCTTCACCCTCCTGCTTGCCCATCGCCCCCCCTCTCCCCCCCCACTTGGTGTATAAAAGAATAAATTGCCAAACATCTCACGGCATTTTTTGGTAGGGGGTGTGATTAAACTAGGATTTCCTTAATCTTCCCGACACGAGTGTTAAAATGCTCAAATACCCTGTCAACTCCAGGCAATTTCCCTTAACATTTTTAAGCCTTTCTGCTTTGTTCTGTAAACTTTCCCACGGAATTAATTTTGAGTCACTGTCTTTGTCTTGTCAAAAATAATAAATTAATGTTACCGACTTAATACCAAACACTGAGCAATAACAGAGCGAGAAGCTATTGAATGTGGAATTTTATCTTACTGTTGTTTTCTTGTGTGTAGTCCTTGGCTGGGCTGCCCTGTATTAAATGCTGCTCTCACATCTCTGTGTAGTACTCCATAAAACCTGCAGTATGAGATTGGCAGAATGTTGCACAACAACTGCGTGTAGTGCACTACTAATCACTGACCCCACTGCTGCTGCCTCAAAACCTGAATTGAAACTATCAAATCCAAACAATGAAATGCACGATAACATATAGTATAAAAGTAAAGCCAAACCTTTGAGTGTTTTCAAGACTAATCAGTAGAGGCTAAAACCTCACAAGCACTATGCTGCTTGGGACACAATCCAAATCTCTTGATAAGATTAAAAATAATAAAACCCCCAATGCTGGGAACCATCAGCAGGTCAATCCGATCAACCTGACAGGAAAAATAGGTTTACCTCTTATGTGTGCCTCCCACACTCCATTATGTTTTTTGTTTAACTAAAATCTTACTAAACGCTTGAATTCTAAACATACCTTTTACCCTGGACCTGATGCACTACTGTGAGTGTCGGTAACAGCCTTCCTTAAGCCTCCCCTGCACTTCATGCACATATGGTTTAGACTCCAATTTGGCCTAGGACAGTGAAGGGTAACACCCACAATCTCACCTATTTTACCTTTTTTTTTCAAACCTAATGGATTTGCTGCGGGTTTCCAGCATTTGTGGTTTGATTTCATTTTGGATAAGGTTTCTGGGCTCTTAAGCCAAGAGCTCACTCCCACTCTGATTCTCTTGGTTCCTCTGAGTCCATATTTAGAAATGTCACTGTATTTGATATATATAATGCTGAGGTATGTTTCCATTGTTAATTCCTTTCATTACTGTACTTTGAAGTTTGAGATAACAAAATTAAAGGTCTGCGGTATTTGATTTCTCTGCAGAACTGAAACCAGAAGAAGTGAAGAATATGGCTGCTAGTGAGGTAAGTCAAACTGATTAGTTGTTGTATTTAAAAATGTTGCTGTACACATTGCTGTGTTCATTATTAAATTATTGCAAGGCCAATTTCTACATTGGCTGTGCCCAGAATAACAAAATATGAATTGGACAGGACTATCTAAATGTGTTTGTACTCATTGGATTGATTCATTAATATACTTAATACACCTGTACAATTCCAATTCATGTAGCGCCCTTCATTCAGGATAGTGTCTTGGAGTGCTAAAGTGATTTTTTTTGTTTAACTAAAATATTACCGAACTCTTGAATACTAAACATACCTTTTACACTGAGCCTGAGGTTCCCGACCAATCTTCCGTAAACCTCTCCTGCACTTCATGCACATGTGGTTTAGAGGCCCTCCAATGTGTCCTAGGATCGTTAGTGTTTTATACTTGAGAGTTCACGGTCCTGCAACAATATTTTTGACATCTTATTGTATTCATTGAATCCTGTCTTATTGCCCTTTATGTTTAGTTAAGCGCTCTGGGACACTACCCTGCGTGTGGGGCACTATATAAATCCAAGTTGTTGTTGTTGCTGTTTGTTTAGTGCAACATCTTGGTGCTCAGCATGCTGTGCAGTGGGGTTCAGTGCAGTGTCTTGGTGTTCAGCCTGCTGTACAGTGGGGTGGTAGAATGGAGGAAAAAGCTTATTCAGCCCAATCTGTTAGTGTTTACTCCACATGAGTATTCACCCATTCCATGCTCCTTCTCGTAATCTTAAAAGATGGGGGGGGTGTAAAACTAATCCTTCCGGTAAAAGGTTCAGCAGATAGTTGCATCCATTCCTGCCAGCCAACTGTAAACTTAAGAGAGGTGTGTGTGTGTATGTAATTTGTAACTGAAGCTGTTTTATCTTTCCTGCCTCTCTAGGTCCGAAGTATCCAACTGTCTGATTTTAAGGATTCTCTAAAGAAGATCAAACGTAGTGTGAGCCCTCAGACTCTGGAGGGGTATCTCCGCTGGAACAGGGAATATGGAGATACGGCCGCAACCTTGTGAGACTAGCAGCTTCATTCATTGCTGTGTGGACTTGCCATTGTCAAAGAACAGTTACACCCACTGTCAGCCACAAATGGCACCACCTCCTCTGGCCTTCAATACCGCATCCAAAGTTGTTACATTACAGGTTTGGACATGAAATCAGCGGAACTAAAGCCTATAGAAAGTATAGCAAAAGAATGCTCTATGTGACGCGCCGTATCCTTTATAATGCATTTTTTTTACAGACCACTTGGTCTATGTGACGGCTTCTTAGACACGATGTGTGGTCGATGAAGGTCGGGGAAGGCAAGTACTGGGGTCTGACTGCTTTAAACAAAATACTCATCTGTATATTTTGTTTCAGCTGCAAACAGTTTATGTTCCGAGTGTACAGAGTAGAAGCACAACTGTAGAAAGATTGGTGCCTTAAGTTTACAGTGTTTGCATGTCCTATTGTGTTTGGTCCTCTGAATCTAGTCACTAATCCAATGTAAATGGCAGTGACCAGAAATGTGCATTTATGTCCCATCATTTATCACTTCAGACATCGGTTTTTAATGTGCCAAATAAAATTCTGGTAATGCACTCACTAAAAAAATTCTTTAAAAGAAAAGAGTTTGGAGTGTTTATCTGCTTTACAGAAACACGTCTTTTCCTAATGTCAAGCAGCTGGTCTCTTGATTTACTGATCAGCCCATGAATAAAGGTTCTAATTCTGCCTCTGCCAATGGCTCAGTATGGCAGGTAGATCTGGTACAAATGTTTATTAAACTCTTTAACAAATTGTACTTTTGGGGATGTACTGAGTTTGAAACTTCATTTAAAACTTTTGCATAATTCAGAATATTTTTCTATTATGTTCTATAATTTATCAGTGATTGTATAAAATAGCCATTTGAGGATCAAGTTTGGGAATGAATGACCTTCTTTCACAGTAATTCAGAGGTGTACATATATAATGAGCCTTCCTTAGAACCTTCTCTTAAAACTGCTACAGCAGTTATATTGCTGAATACATTTTGTACATATATCAGAGGTTTAGAGAACATCGTAATGGCGTTAAAGTGCTTTCTTGTTGCTATTTAATGGCATTTGGTAGTAAAATATGACTTTGATTTCATGAAAGGGACTTTGTCATTGTTCCAGGTTTCTGACATTTCAGGCATTTTAAATGCTCACATTTGATTTTCTGGACTTTGGGACCAAGTCTCAGTCCTTCATAAGTCTTCAGTCCTGTTGCCTATAAAACATACATTTTACATTTTGAGAGTCAAACCACAAACACTTCAAATCATTTTTTTTACAAAAATGTAATTGCAAGAAAAGCTTTTCCATGGGACTTGGATCTATGCAGCCAGATGTATGAACAAACCAGGAGGTTCATAGGTTTTTTTTTCCCGAAGAAGGTTTAAGAAATGATCTTTGTACCAGCTCTACCTCGTATATGCCTGTCTTATTTTGTAGCTCCTTGTTTTCTCAGCTTGTGCATCCATCCTCTTTCTACCTTAGACATCCAGGCCTGGGTGCAGTTGCATCCTTTCTGAGACACCCAAATATAGGAGTGGAAATTCCACGTGAGTTTAGATTTACTTTATTATCTGAGCATTTCAGGATGTCCAGATTCAGGCAAATTCTTAATTGCAATCTTAATTTTGAAGCCGGTTTTCTATGAAGTTCTTTAAGAAAACCCAAAAATTCTAAATGCTCTGAAATGGTAAGAAAAGAGTAAATTCCCAAACTCTTAGTAAGAATAAATCTGGATCCAGGTGGAATTGTTCCCTTGCAGTGTGTGCTTACCCACTAGAAGTCTCTGTGCTGTTCCACCGCATGGCTTGTGAAATATTATGGTGCTGTTGAGACTGACCACAGTGATTGAATGAATGGTGTCCTGGAATTCAGAGAACACTGAAATATTAATTAACCTGGTTAATAGTTGTACCTTCACAATTAGTTTAATCTGTGCTTTTAAAATATTAAGGCACACTTCAGTGCAACTTTCTAATGATACTTTTAATTTTTTTTACTGCGTCACAAAAATCTCAGCCATTTTTCCCCCAATAACCGTGAAGCTTAACCAGCAAAAAGCAATTAAGTGAATTTGTGGATTCTTTCTAACTTTTGATAAATTTTGATTAGATTTTAACAACATTTGTAAATTGGTGAATTGATTTGATGTGAATAGAGCGTTTAGACATGGCTTACTGAAGTGCATGGCATTCAGGGGAAGCAGTTTTTTTGGATTACTTTAATGCTGTATATTTCTAAACGCCTGGTACCCCTAAAACTTGGTTTAGAAAATATACAGTTCATGTATCAGTAAGTACTGTATTGTACTTTTTGCCGCCTCCCTTTTTTCTTGTTTTTGTATCAATGTGCATGGATACGTTCTTGGTTCCTTTCTGTTTTAAATGTCTAATATATTGATGAATAAAAGTTTTAATTTGAAGTCTGGATTTTCTTTTTATTGGGAGGAGGGGATGTGTCTGTTGTATTTGTATGTGACTTTGATGTGGTACTGTTTGCATCATTATGTTACATGCTTGAACCCTATGGGAAAATGTTTGACTGCCTACCTTTTAGAAGCAACAAGTCCCTGTTCTGTGACATTTTTATAGGCTTTCTCACTGAAAGATGCAATGTAAGTGAATTGACAGAAAAGTCTTGCTTGTACTAAAGGACCTGGACAAGTTCCTGTCAACTTAAATGATACCGTTTTATTAGATTTAAAAGTGAGATGCATCAAAGGAATCTTTTGGGAAATTGGGTGGAGAAGCTGCCTGAAATTGCTGCAGCTACTGAATGCTTTAGTGATCTGATCAGCTGGAAATACAAGGTATGTTCACTGTTTCAGATAAAGGCTTGCAGTGATAGAACTTCCCCTGCAGGTGTCAGTTTCATCTTGGATTCACTGCTGTTGCAAAAGTAATTGATAACCAGTTGGATTCCAAGCCAGGTTATCTAAATGCTGTGATTTTTAACAAAGTCTTGTATACAATTTATTTACATTAGAAATGAACATTTGCTGTGCTACCTTGGAAACAATCTTTCCATCAACATTGCTTCGAACGGTTCTCAAGATTTAACTACTTTTTAATGAATAACGTTTTATCCACCATTGGATTCCTTTAGGCGCAAACACACCTGGAACTGTCCATTTGCACCTTTTAGAACAGATTTGTAAGCTGTCCACCTGTGACTTGAAAGTGATTTGTCAAATTTATTTCAGACTTGAGGATTGTCCCCTCGTTGGGCTGTGAGCTGCAATGAAATTGGTTCAGCAATTGTATTTGAAACGTGATTCAAAAATGTTAAAACACATTACATGTATATAACTTCATGCTAGTCTGTCTGTACCTTAAACAATCTTTAATGCAATATTTCATGGTTAAAACTCTTCTCCAGAGCTACTGGGTATGGGCAAACATTGCATTGCCCACACCTCAATCTCTTTTTTCAAAAAAGAGACCATCTTCTCCAATTCCTTTTATGGGAAATGGCAGTCAACACGTGTGTGTGTGTGTGTGTGCGCACGTGTGTTCATTCAGGCATTCAATACATTAAAGGACTGGAGATTATTCACACAAGAACTTTACAGTGATTATACATTGTTATGATCTTGCGCTGTTCATGGGAATGAGTGGGGGGGTGGGGGGAGACAAATCGCTTTTGTATCTTAAACTTAAGCTGTTTTCTGCCTCTGCCAGCTGGATAAACAACCTGTAATAGTTATACCAACATAAAGTTGGGAACATGTTGTCCTTGTTTTTATATTCACTGAGATGATGCCTTTCATGTTAATCTGATATGGAAATAGTATTAAGCAGCTGGGCCCACCTCCGATTTGGTTCCACTGCCTTCCTCAGACCACCCTGTTAGTGCAGTAGTTGAATAGTGAGTTAGAGCAAGTTGAAGCCGGTCTTAACAGCTGTAGCTAACAGCTGGAATCAGATCTGTATAATGGCTCACACAGATTGCTCTTTCCTTACAAATGTGCAGATTAAAACCAGTCAGTGTAATTTGCATTGGCTGGCTGGTCCACTATATATGCACTAAGTATTCTACTTAGCACGGTCGAAGAGGAGGGTCTTGAGACAGGTCTTGAAGAAGGCAAGGGAGGGGATGAGATGGAGAGACTGTGGGATGGAGTTCCAGACAGTGGGGTCAGAGAGGCTGACCCCGCCAATGGTAGGGTGGGCAAGGCGGGGAATCGTGAAGTAGGCCGGAGCCTGCTCAGTGGAGGGAGTGGACAGGTTGGTAGGGGGTTAGGAGGTCACAGAGGTAGGGAGAAGGAAGGCTGTGGAGGGCTTTGAAGGTGAGGATCAGGTTCTTGAACTGCATCCTCTGAGTGATGGAGAGCGAATGGAGTTGAGCAAGGATGGGGTGATAGGGTCATGGAGCTTGGTGCGGGAGAGGATACGGGCTGCAGAGTTCTGGACGATCTGCAGTCTGTGGAGGGAGGAGTTGGGGAGGCCGACAAACATAGTCGAGATGGATGTGATGAACGCGTAGATGAAGGGCTTAGCGGCCTGTGGTGTGAGGCAATGACAGAGCCCGGAGATGTTGTGGAGATGGGGAAAGGCAGAGCACGGATGTGGGGATGAAGGATAGTTGAGGGTCGAACAGGACGCCGAGGTTCTGCATTGGCTACGTGAGGAGTAGAGTGCATCCACAAAGGGTGATGCTGTCAGTGCCCGAGGTATGGAGGTGCTGATGGGAGCCAAGCAGGAGGGGCTCTGTCTTGTTGACATTCAACTGGAGAAAGCTTTCATCCAAGACTTGATGTCCAATGGTAGTTTGTGAGGACAGCAGTAGTCGTGGTTGGAGGGGGAGAGGTACAGTTGGGTGTCATCCACATACATGTGTAATTTGACCCCATGTCTACAGATGATGTCACCAAGAGGGAGCATGTAGATGTCGAAAACCAGAGGACCAAGGACAGAGTCCCGAGGGACGCCACACATGATGGTGTGGGGGCTGGAGGAGAAGCCATTAGTGGAGACAGTGGGAGAGATATGATTTGAAGCAAGCAAGGACAGGCCCGTGAAGGTTGATCTGAGAGGAGAGGCGGTGGAGGAGGATAGAATGGTCAACAGAATGCACTATGAACAGCAATAAATAGGACTCCTGATGCTATCCTGAACTGCATGAACCACTATGAGTTCACGCCCATTGTCAACCATGAGCACCATTCTGTAGCAGTTGTAATAATCCTATCCCTAACTTAATAGTAATTTAGTTCAAGCAGAGTCTGGGCTCATTTAGGCATCTTAAATTATGATATTTACTTTTCTTTAAGTCTTTTAAGGATTCGGCACCCTTCTCGCAATTTGTTCCCACAGAAGGTCAAACATGGTTGCTTATGTCTTATTTTAGTGGCATCTTATGAAGTACATTTTGCTAATTGAAAAAGGGAACTAATGTCATCCTCATTTCACTCACAATATATACAGTCAATTCACTTTACAATATATTCTTTAAAGCACTTGAGGTGTCTCAGACGTGATAAGGTGCTATAATCAAATGCAAGGATTATTATTATCTGTATACACTTTTAGAGTGTTTGAATATCCTGATTTAAATCATGTCTGCTCTCTGAAGCATCCAACTGACATTATTCTCCTTTGTACAAAGCTTGGTTAGACCACATGTGGAATACTGTGCCCAATTCTGGTCACCATACTGCAAGAAGGATCCAGAGGTGTTAGAAAGTACAATGTAGGTTTACTAAGCAGATACCAGCAGTGGCAGGTTACTGCTATCACGATAGACTGGATAAGTTAGGCCTTTTTTCGCTAGACATTTAAGAGGGAACCTAATAGAGATACTTAAAATTCTAAAAGGTTTCAATAAGGTTAGCATAAATAAGTTGTTCCAGCTGGTTGGGGAATCCGTAACCAGGGGATGCTAATCTAAGATAGCGATTAGGGGGATCTAAAAGAGAATTTAGGAGGAAGTATTTCACGCAGAGGGAAGTGAAATTGTGGAACTCGTTGCCTGAAGAGGTGGTTGAAATAGGTAGCATAGATACATTTTAGATATACATTCAAATGAAGGAGTAAGGAGTGGGTGGAGAATAGTGGAGTATAAACACTGGCACAGGCTGTTGGGCCAAGGGGATGCTTCAGAGGGCAGACATGATTTGAATTGTGAATTGTCTGATGTTCAAACACTCTAAAAGTCCTGTAGATTCTTTGTAAATCCTCTTCCTCCCCCTTCCCCCACACCAAAAGCTCTCATGGTCTATGGGTAATATAATAATTGATAGAAACCTTTGTTTTAGTGTCTTACCATATTAAAACATATCAAAGCTCTTTACGAGATTTAATGCGAAGTGTAGTGACTATATTTTGCTTAGAACGCAGCAGCCAATTTGCACAAAGCAATGTCCCACAAATGGCCATAAGGAAAATGACCAATTTTTTCTGGGGACTCTTGGTCAAGACACTGGGAATAATTATCTTTTGAAGAATGACTATTACATCTAAAGGTGAGAGAACTACTATTTCAAGATAAAATTAAACTTAAATTGTACTTGCATGTCTTAGCATGCTTCTAAAACTTATCCTTTTGAGTGAATTTTTTCAGTGAAACAATTTTGACAGCTATGAGTAAATATTGAATCCTGGCAAGGTATTATAGAGGGTCATAGAGGAAAAGCAATGTGTAAAAGATTGAATGAGGCAATTGTTAAAGTTGTTTTTTTACACTATTGATTACTGTACTTTCAACCAAATAAAATGCCTCAAAAATGTATCCTTTCATAGTCTGAACTAAAGGAAAATTTCATCAGTTTAAAAGTGAGGCAGACAATCCAGCTGTCAAAGCAAAGCTAATATTGAATTTCTCCTCACGATACAATAAAATCCCATGAATTGCTTTGAGACATTCTGACTTGAATGACGCTATATCAAATGCAAGGATTGTTATAATCCAGCGCTGGTCTTCACCTAGTAATACAAAGATGCCTGAGTTCTATTATAAGCCAAGTGTGCAAATCATTTGTAAAAGATTAGGTTCAAATTACATTTAGCATAAGAAGAGCTTTCAGGCATCAATGATGGACTGAAAATCTCTCTTATGTGTTTGACCAAATGTAATAATAATAATCCTTGCATTTGACATAGTGCCTTATCATGTCTTTGAGACCTCTCAAAGCACTTCACAGAATATACTGTAAAGTGAATTGACTGTATATTTTCTGGGTGAAAATTTAGTGCCATATTTAAAAAATGTATAAATGTTTTGAGGTGTCAAATAGTTTATTCCCAATTCAACTGAAGTGTAAAAGAAATTTGATTCATTGGTCTTTATATAAATTTGAAGGGGGAGAAAAATAATCTGTCATAAAACTTTATAGTACTTAAAACCCTGAATTTTATTGACTTAATGCACTAGTGTGTCTGCCTGGCTCAGTGGTAGCACTCCCACCTCTGAGTCAGAAGGTTG